GAACATGATACAGCATCAAACACACTCCACAAGACTGAACAAAAAGTTCTACTCTACCTTTGTTACTCTCAGGATGAGAGTGTGACTTGTTTCATGAGCTCTTCTACTGTTAGTTCTGTTAAATCTGTTATTGTAAAACTATTGTGTGATACTGTTTGTTCATTGTTGAATATTTTTCTGTGAAAATAAACCTTTTAATATAAATATCTATTATTTGCCTTATTTGTTTCTGTTGTTTACATTGGAATAACATTTAATGAGCTCTAGAGAAGTATGCTTCTGTATATCAATTACTACTGAAAAATCACTTCACGACACTTAAAGAAAAAAAAAATGTACACCTTAAAGCAGTACAGCGGGGTTTTTTTTTTTGGGGGGGGGGTCTTGTGTATGAGAAAAATATCAAAGAACGTCACTTTTGTGCTGCCTTCAGGTGCTCCTCTGAAAGCCCCTTTTCAGAAATCGGATGAAACTTGTTAGCTTTTCTATACATGTATTCCAATAATTATGCATAAGTAACAGATAATACTTGAAAATATATTTGGCAAAAGTTGAAAAAAGGAAGGATAATGAATGTGAAAATTAGGTGATTTTATAAATTCCGATTTTAATTAATGTAACCCTAATGAATTGGGACGCTGATGCAGTCTGTAATCGACACATGTATTTGAACCCTTCACTGATTTAAAGATACTTCAAAGTAAAGTTTTGGGACTGTTATTCCACGTTTTAATATTTCCGACAGCACATGAAGACATCGTACTGATGTTGACGTCAAAACAGAAGTGCTTTCGTGCTATCCGAGTGTAGTTGGAGTGGAAATTGTACTTACAAAAAGAGGTATATGTTTCTTGTGAGTCGTGAAAAGGTAAAGACGGTTATTCAAGGAACGAAACACCTGGCTTGTCGAAGAAATTGCTGCAAGCCATGCAGACCAGAAAAGGAGAAGATGATGTCTCTCCTGAGGAGTATGTTGCTCTGTCTGATTTCACTGGGAGTGGTAGCGACCAGTCTCGTAACTGCACACTGTCAAAGCCAAAAGTTTAGGTCGAGAAGCTAGATCTAACTATTGTTCTTACTTTGCTTTGTTTAGCTTAGTTTCAGCAGGGGGGACAGGACTGCTCGTACACACCAACCTTCATCAGAGTGGTGGTGGGCAGAGCTGCAGGAGGTCAAAGGTTATGTCCCTGCCAGCTACCTGCGCAAGAGTACAGCGGAGGAGGAGGAAGACGTCAGTCTGGAGGACCCTTGGCAAGACGAAGAATACTTTGGCAGCTATGGACACTGGTTTGACACTTAAAAGACATCCCAAAGTCTTAATTTAGAGCTTAAAGTAAGACGTAAAAAATAGTGTGATCCTCCAGGTAGCAGGTCCTAAAAACACAACATATAGAGACATACAACTTACCTGAGGATAAACCCCATTACGCATCATAATGAACACACATTTTGTTTCACTTAAATGTAACATGATGGTGGTTAAGGTCTACCTGTAAGATAGGGAATTAAATAAAATCTTAACCAGGAAATATTGGCAATCTTTGTTTTCTAATTTAATTTTGTTCTGTTTTGTTGTTTTTTTTGACATACAGAGGCTTCACTTGGAGATGTTGTCAGACAAGAGTCGCACTGAGGCGTACCGGCAGGTTATTCTCAGCAACAGTGCCTCGCTGAAGAACAAGTGTATGGACCTCGCTGTGGGACTGGTATCATCAGCCTGTTCTGCGCTCAGCTGGCACAGCCCTCATTGGTAATGTAAACACAATGGCTCTAAGTCTATCTCTCACACAAACACATGTGCTGCTAGTTATGTAGCAGAAAGTAGAAAGATAAAGGACTGACAGCCCGGTTTAGTTTCAGAAACTTCAGTTGCAATTACGTTTTGATTTATCTACCATTTCCAACTAAATGACCATTTACATATTATAAAAGTTGATTCATATTGAGTTTTGGGTATTTATTAATTCAAAACATAAATAAATGAATAGGAACTTTAACTTCATGATTCTAATAAATTAATGTATATACATTTTTACACTTACAAAGTTGTTTGTTGAATGTGTTTTTTTCAACTTGTGATTTTGCAGCATGGTTGACTTATTGGGTATTATACTCCGATGTAGCCTTGCTTTTATGATACAGTTTTGTATATTACTGAATGAGTCATATAGATTGTTTTTACATGCAGCACCTTCGTCTGTATTTGAAAACCTGGCGTAACAAGATCTAATACAACTTTTTCTTTCAATGTTGTGGAACTCCCAAAGACATGCGAACCCCTTTTTAATGTTCCTCTTCAGTCAAAACAACTTGTCAGCCCACCTTTATCATTATAATAAAGTCAAATCTGAATATCTTGAAAATGTACATAACCAATATTTTCTTACCAAGAAATATTTGTTACAATTAAAAGCTGATTACATCGACTTCCACACAACTTACTCTATTCTATTTCCTCCTAAGTTTAAGGTGTATCAAACTTTGTGTACTTCTACTCCATCTGCTGGCGAATCAGTGCAGCCACATGATTTAATCAGCACACTGTACGATGTATCTGTGTTGTGTAGGTGTATGCTGTGGAAGCGAGCTCCATGGCGATTACACCGGCAGCTGGTGAAGCAAAATGGCAGTGAGGAGGTGGTCTCTGTGCTCCAGGCTCGAGCAGAGGAGATCGAGCTGCCTGAGCGGGGGATGTCCTGGTTCTGAGTGGATGGGAAACAGCCTGCTGGTAATTATGACACTGTCAAAATTCAAAATAATGATTTGAGGTTATGTGCAAAGATTCCTCTTACTTGAATGCTTTATCCAAGTATAATTACAGCATTATTAGATATCATCTCCTTCTTCTTCTTCTCTTCTGGTATAGTTTGAGTTCATGGTTGAGTCAGTTCTGCTGGCCAGGGACCGCTGGCTCAGGAAGGCGGCGTCATGTGGCCCTCGTCTGCAGCCCTCACCCTGGTGCCGTGTCAGGCCCACAGCTATTATGATGAGAAAATGGCCTTCTGGAGCGACCCTACGGCCTGGACTTCACTCCTCTTCAGTAAGGGTTGTTAAGCTGGTCAGCTTTTATCAGTAGATTTTTTCCCGTCTCACTTCTTTATTTTTACATAGATTGTCTGGAACTAACAAGATCACATGTTTTAAATATCATTACTAATCACTGTAATAAAACAAAATAGATTTGATTTGAGTTGCTAGGGAGTGATGCTGTATTTTTGTTTTTTAGATTTATTTTTGGGCTTTTTATCTATTTACTGTAGATAAAGGACAGTGGACAGAGTCAGAAATCAGAGAGAGAGAGAGAGAGAGAGAGTGGGTAACGACATGTGGGAAAGGAGCCACAGGTTGAATTTGAACCTGGGCCGCCCGCTTTGTGGGCTAACTATGAAATACTAGTTACAAGTTCTGATTCGCATTTCTGAAGTTTGACTCTCCCTTCATTTCTCTACTTTCATTGTAATTTGAGTTTTACCATAGAATAGACAAATTACTCATCAAAAGTCTGACTAATCTTCTCATGGCAGAGAGACCTGGATTAGGTGTTGTACCCTGATGTCTGTCAGAGCTAACATGTCTTCGTTTCTCAAACTTAAGTCAGGATATGGTGACTGCGTTCCCCCAGCATGTATCTCCAAAATATCTTGAAACCCTCTCACTGTCTTTATCAGCACATGATGTTTTCTCAGATGTGAAATGAGTGGTGTTTAATGTTAAAAAGGGTTTAATATTATGATACACTTGTACAAAGAGTTCAGACAAGTTGGACTAAAAACTTTTGTTCCAACAACTATCATTGCATCGAGTCACCTCTGACAGTCTCAAATGATTTGAGAAATCTTTAGCCCAATGTTCTTAAAGCTGTTGCAGGATTTTTCCCCACATCTGAAACAAAGCAGTTTTACGTTAATACATATTTTGGTGCCAATTTATGACAGAATGAAGTAAACACAGGTTCATATTAATAAATACTGCTGACCTACATTACTATTGTAATTGTGACTGTATGAATGAAATGACTATGATAAACACAAACTTTTTATTTGTCTCCTTTTTTTTTTTACTTATTCCTAACCTCATATCTTAAATTCCATTTCTCCCGTTCTTTTTAAGTTTCATAAGTCTTTTAGCAGCAACCTAATCTACTGAGGGCATTAAGTATCGTTTCATCTCTGCAGGCCCCTGGCACAGCAAGAGTTCTTCACCAAGCCAAAGTTCAGCCACCTCGTCGAGCCTGCCGACTGCCTCTCCTCTCCCTGTGATGTCATCAGCCTGGACATGTACACGCTGCAAATCAAAGACCTGGAGGTACTGTGGGTGTGTGCGTTTTTTTGATAGAGATTGCGCCATCCCTTTGGAGTTGGGCTGTAATGTAGCTCTGTTTCATTTCTCAGGAAATAAAGGGTCAGTTTCAATTTTGTGTGGAGAAGCCCGGTGTTTTTCATGGATTTACCACTTGGTTTACGGCTCATTTTGAGAGTCTGGAGACGGGAAGTCCACCAGTGGAGCTAAACACGGGGCCTCACTTCAAGTAAAACTTTTAAGAATGCAAAAATAACTTTGTTACATGAATAAAGGATAGTTTATTCAGTGACAGCAGTGCAATGTTTACATGCCTATACACATAATTCAATAAATCAAAATGAGGCAGACATACAAAAACTTTAGACTTTATAGCAAATACCTTTCAAAGTTTGAAAAAGTCAAAACCTTCACTCCATGGTGATTTTTAAAATTCCTCTTCAGGCCTACACACTGGAAGCAGACTCTCTTCATGCTTGACAACCCAGTAAGCGTGTGTGCAGGGGACTCCATCAGTGGAAGCATTGTCCTGCACAGGAATCCCGTGTGGAGACGCCATATGACCATCACCCTGCATTGGAACGTTAACGGCAGCACAGAGGAAACAGAAAACTGCAAGGCAAACATCTCATCTACCCTTTTTTTTTTACCTTATAATTAGTGTTGCATCTTATCTTATCCAATTACACTTGTATATTTCATTCTTTTGCAGTGTGACTCTGCTTTACACATGTGACCCTTAAATAGTCCTGAATTCACCTCTCAGCCCTTACTGTCTTTTTTTTTTTTTTCTCTCTGTCCATAGGCCGGTACAAAGAGTTTTACTATGTGGAGGTGACAGATGCTCCATCTGCATGTGGAGCTGCAGAAATGCATTTCAGCTCTGGGTCAGTGAGGCATCAGCTGCGAGCTGCTGCTGATCTGGGAAACAGTGTGACCGTCGTGTTTCAGTCGAAGCGACAGTCCAGTAACGGCTCATCTGGCAGCACATGTAGACTTACAGAGTTAAAGCCTTTACATTACAACCCCAGGTGATTCAGCATACCACGAGCAATGTTACAAAGGAGATGAACACAGAAGTTAAGAGATAAAAGTTATTTTGGGAGAATTATTGTAACTTTGACTCAAATGCTAACTGGGCTAGGAGGGCATTACAGAAATGTTCATACAACAGCATGTTGTTAACAGATATTTGTCTCTAAGTGCAACAAAATAAATATCCCCCACATTAAGCTTTTATGTTCATTTTAGTCTGTGCATTTTTTTGTTGGACAATATGCATTGTATTTACAGTTTGTACACGTGCTTTAAATGTCAAAAGACTTGGAAGTAAGGAAACAACATAAAACCCTTCATTATAATACTTTTTTTTTCTATATTGAAATTTAACAATCCACACGATAGAGATGTTTCTCTTAATTAGCCGTGTGAGGTTCAATGTACATTAAATACACCATTTCAGTGCTTGCAAAGATAAATAATCATTTGTGATACAATTCTTAGATTAAAACTACAACTTTTTTCAGAATAATTTAACTACAAATTAGCTTTTTGTCCCTTTCTGTTAGAATTTGTAAATGTGACTTTCATCTGTTTACCAGCAACAGTTGAACCATTCTTTTTTAAAAGCATTAAACATGACAGAACATGACTTTCCCTCCTCTTGTTCAAGGCTCTGTTTTAATCTTGGCTTTAGCTCTGGAGCGCGTGTTGACCTCTGAGGACAGAGGCTGAGGGGGTGAGGACTCTGGAGAAGAAGGCCTGGAGAGCGGCACAAACAGAGGAGGTTTAACAACTCTGTCTTTGACTTTGTTTTTATCCCGTTTCTGCCTCAAGTGTTTATCACAGTGGTTCACAAAGGTGTCCAGCTTGACGAAGGTTTTGTTGCACACTTTGCAATGATAAGGCCTTTGTCCTTTTTTGAGGCGAATGTGCAGCCTTATGTATGATGATCGTACGAAGGTGCGGCAACAGACACCACACTTCAGATCCTCTGAGCTACTTTGTGTCTGCTGGGGCTGAGTGGTCGCTGGAGCTGGAGCTGGTTTGGCCTGCCCAGACGACTCTTGTGCCTTGTGAGTGAGCAGGGCAGACAGATGCCGAAACCCCTCACCACACTGCTCACACTTGTACGGCCGCTCTCCTGTGTGCAGACGCACATGTGCGAGGAGCCCGGCCTTCTGTGTGAACGACTTGTCACAGTAGGTGCACTTGAAGGGCTTCTCGCCGGTGTGGAGCCGGCGGTGGGTCTTCAGGTGTGAGGCACGGCCGAAGGTCTTGCCACACTCCGGGCACTTAAACGGCCGGTCCCCGCTGTGGATTAACTTGTGTGCCATCAGGTGGGACGACTGGTGGAAGTACTTCCCGCAGGTGCTGCATCTGAACTTCCTCTCTTTGTTGTGGGAGGAAAGGTGAAGGGTCAGATGGGCAGACGATATGAACGTTTTGGAGCAGACGCTGCAGCTGTGAGGATCCAGGCGCATGCGCCGGTGTGGGCGTCGACCATTGGGGAGGCTGCTTCCTTCCTGACAGGCTTGACATTTTGAAGGGCTGTCTGCTTTGTGCACAGGCTGCTGTTTAGCAGTGGCTACCTTTGAATCAGAGTCAGAGTCAGGCTGTGTCTGGCTGAAACTGCAGCCGCAGTCTGAGCACTGCACAGCCTGTTGTCCTTCATCACTGCTTTTATCCAACATGTCTGCTTACCCGAGGGAGGGGGGTGGGCTTTTCATCCTGGGAGACATCGGGTCATCTGAAAGTGATAGGTGCAGCTGAGAGAAAATGGCTACATCACGGAAATAAAGGCTGTCGGAGAATGTTTCGTTTTACTCGTGACTGAGGTCAAACAGTGATCACTTTACGCACAGGGCTGATTGAAATGACAGCCAGACAAATCACAACACATGACATTTAGTAAAAACCTGATAAAACTAGCTCACCAAACAACTGTATTGTAGGCCTATAGGTTCGCACGATACAATAAGGATGCGATTAACAATAGATCGTAAACAAAGACTTAACATACCGTGTTCATTCTTTCTAAGATAAATGCGCACTACTTAAAGGTATTCATCTTGAAGCGCAGTGAAAACATCATACAGAGCCAGATAACAACGGAGGGGATGTCTGCAGAATGGTTTTCCTGCAGGAGGCTGTCCGCTTCTCTTTCTATCACTGTTGGGCTGCAGCAGCATCTAGCGAGTGGCGGAATAACTGTAATACAATGTTTAACACCATCATGTCTGCAGGGTCAATGAATCAGCACAGGACAACTGAGGAGAAACTTCAACTGTCCAATTTCATCCCTGACAATAATGTTTCCTACATCATGTGTTCTTCTTCTGCTGGGTGCAGCATGCAGATATTCATTAGAATAAAATGACGGTCTTTTCTGTGTTTTTCTGATTACTTCTTTATAGTCATTCTCGGCAACAGGCCATCTGAAGGACATTCTCAGAAATAACGAGGTTCATAACTCAGATAAGTTTCGTTTCATTGAGTCTGGCAGAAGAAACAGTATTTAGGTGAGGAGGATAACCTCGACTCACAAGAGTGTATGCAAAGTATCTGTTTTTAAGTTTCGATTCGGAGGAAGTGGTTCTGATTTGACTTGGATGAGAAACGAAAGTAAAGGACAGGGGAGCAGGGAAGGAAGTGAGTGTGGGTGTTGGCATCAGTAGCCTTTATAAACTGAACGCGGATGAAAACTGAGTTTCTGAACTTCGCAACGCCGGCGATGATGCGACTCTTGGACCAACACGTCTGAGGTACAGTTCACTATTTTGATCTACGTCAGTGTTATCGTATAGCCTAACATGTAGTTGGGCAAAGTCAGGGATATTTTGACACTTTTGTTTTTTTCTGTCTTTTATTAGCTTGCCATGAATTAAAAAAAAAAAAAGTCCAAAACATAGTCAATCTCAAAATGTATTATTATTATTTTTTTTTTAGCATGGCGCTAATCCTCCGTCGTAAAAACATGATGCATGTCTGAAGGTATTCGGCTTCTGAAGATGTTGGGCTACATTTTCCTTCAAGAGAAATTAAGGTTTTTTTTCTATTAGTCCAAGAAGGAATCGGACTTCACCAAAGTGTTGACCTTAATATTTACAGTCTGTGGTGTTAACTGGTTTTGCAACAATTAGGTGTTTAGTCAACACATTGAATTATTGATTAAGGCTACTGTGAGGATGTTTTATATTTCATACATTTTATTTTCTTAAAGGCTCTGTACAGCCACACGTGTTTTAAATAATTCTGGCAGATTAGACCAGGAATGGTTGTAAAAAGTTGGACCTATGGTGAGAATTTCTGATGCGATAAATTCTCAACACCAAATATAATGACAGGTCGTCAAGTCCTCCTTCCTGAATGGTTTCTTCAAAATGAACAGAGTATGGAGCTGTCAGTCAAACACATTTGACCACACCCACATATTCCTGACAAGAGGACTAATCTTATACTGTGATTTTGTGCTACTTGATTTGCATCTTACATACTGTGAACACACCTCTAAACTTACTACTAAGCTGAGTCAGAAATTTTGTGTATAATTATATATTTTTTTTTACGATCAACATTTTTTTATTTTTACAGATATACAAAACATAGGACAGTCATACCATGAAATCCAATATAGGCCTGCACTCCACCTTTGTGAACAAACTTTACGTGTATAATAAGATCAGATCATATCTGTCCTTCTCTGTTTCTGAAACGTACCTACATGCAATTGTGTTTTCATCAATTTCCTACTGTCTTCCAATCTGGTCACTCACCACTAAGGAGATTACTGAACCAATAGCACAACTGTACTATCGAGCTCTTAAGATCCACAGTAACCTCCCAAAGTGGGCTCACCATTGCTCTGCACTCACGCTCCAACGCCTTGACTTTCCAGAATTACATACACAGCCACGCTATTACATACTATTTTCAGATTCAAAGCAGCACTTCTACCGACACATAATATGAGACAAGTGCGCCTCACTAGGTCAGTCTCACAGGCACTCATCCCCGTCCCTGTATACAAAAACAACTATGTTCGGAAGTCCTTCTTTTACACATACATCAAAACTTGGAATGACATTCCCCATCACATTAGAACTTTACCATCTACCTCATATTTCAAAAACACATACAAACAACACCTTCTCCACACTTACACCTGCACCTTACACCACTAATCGTTCAAGTATTGTTCGCAGTATCTGTACTGTTTGTTTCTATTTGTCTGTATCTGCTTAGCTCATGCTAATGTCCTGTAAATGTGTTTGTCTTGATGTGTCAGGACTTCAGTTTTATGTTTTATGTTCTGCAGAACAGGAACCTGCTGGAAACCAGTTTTTAAACTGAGTCATGTTTCAGTTTATTTAGTAAAGCCTCCATTCATGTTAAATGGACAAGCAGGGTGTATAGTATTTTTTTATGCTAGCTGATGGACAAGCTCTTAGCAAACTCCAGCTGCTTATCCATGAACATTTTTGTGCCTGATTAGGGGTCTGTACCTTAATATTTACAGTCTGTAGTCATGCACACAAGGAGGTTTGGGAACCACTAATCTTAAATGCCCTTACACCATTAATAGGGTATAAATGTTCTGATAATAATATTTATTTAGAATGTTATTTGCGTTTATTTCTGTACTTCCTTATCCATCTCTCCTACTTTGGTTTTGAGTATTACTCAACTCTAGAGGTGCAGCCAGCCTCAATTACTGCCAGAATGGGTTACATGCACTAACAGTCATACATTTGTATTACTATTGGAGCAGTTTGTAGGAAAGTTAATATAAACTCCATAGAACAGCATCAAAATCTAATTCATTAACATTAAAAGTTAGGGACAACGTGAAAGCATGAGTTACTTTTTATACTTGTGTTTTTTTTTCTGCCAAATAATAGTGTTCAAGTTTGTGTAGGCCTACCAGCTACACTATGTGTGTTAGTCTCAAGCTCTACTAAATGCAACTTCTCAGAGTTTTGGGAGTTATATAACATAGGTCTGTTTCATAACCTGGGCGGCAAGCACATCAAACATCTCATTAACTTTTGCTAGTCTGGCATAACCTGTTCAAGGAACTTCCTCTTCACCTGTTTATCTGATGAATCTAGCCAGCATCGTTTATCTCTACAAAAGTAATAGGCCTACAACTATACTTAAAGTGTTAAGGGTGAAATGAGCCCCTGACTATCATCTCAACATCACTTACATACATAGTGTTGAGTCATTGTTAAACGTTGTAATGCTTTTGTTAAAATACTTTTGACTCTTTTGCAGAATCAGGCCGAGCAGGAAGGATGAGTTCCAAAGCAAAGAAAAAATCTCGGTGAGATGAATTCCTGAAGGGGGGGGGTCTTGGTTAATGAATTATTAAACTTAACAAGCTTTTTTGCACGACTGAAAAACCTTCACATCTATTTGCATCTATAAAGAAGCTTGAATGCTTTACATTGATTGATAATAATATATAATTGATCATTTATTTGCCCAGTGAAACAAAAGGTATCAAATACCTTTCAAGTATTGCTCCTTTATCCTATTGGCTAAATGGATAGTTGAAATATACTTTGACCTTTATTTATTGCTCTTTGTTGATTTTAACATTAGTTTCTTATTTTTTGACCCTCCCACATTGTTTAGAACATCCTTCGGGGCAACAGCGCCGCCCTTCATTGACTACCTGCAAGATATTCTGCGACGATATCCAGATGGTGGACAAATTTTGAAGGTCAGTACAACGATCTGTGAAATACTGGTTAATTAGACTACTTCATTTACCATTTTATTATTTTGACCGTAAAAATCTGGTGATCCATTTTGTAAATAGTTGTCTCTGCTGTGTTAATAACTTAGGAGCACATAAAGAGCAAAAACATTCAGGATATATTTAGTTTCCTACATTTTGTTATTATGTAACAAAGGCTGGAAAGAGATTTTACCAGGTAAAAAATCTTTTTGGTAAGATCTTTTAAAATTCCTTTTTGGAGCCAAAATGTTTTATAATTTGTTATTTTATTTCTGCCTGAGACCTTGGTAAATTGTGATTTTGTATAATGAGTGTAATTCCAGCACTGAACACTGGGTGGAGTCTTGCTTTGTGAAGGGAATAAAGCCATGACTCCAGGGTTACAATTGTGTATATTTCACTTTATAATACTTTCTGTAAAGCACTTTGAAATGCCTCTGTATGAAATATGCTGCACAAATAACCTTACATGAACATTCAGACAAGAAAGATAGATACTTTATTCATCTGGAGGGAAATTCAAGCATTAAGTAGCAGCTTTCAAGACTCAAACATGACACATGACATGAAACATTGTTATATCTATCTATCTATCTATCTATCTACATATATATATATATATATAGCAAGCCGTTCAGGAAATTAATATATTGAATGAAATTTAGAATATATTGAATGGAACTTTGAATAAATTATATATATATATTATTATTAGGGCTGGGCAACAATTAAAAGTTTTAATCGCGTTAATCGCGAGTTCCTGTGATTAATCGCATTGTTATACGCAAAATCCAATAATGAATTCAAAAGTAGTGTATAGCACACTTTTATTGTAAATGTACTTCTCAACTTAAACAACGTAATCAAAGCAAATAAATACAAAACTAAAGCTTAATGCCACTGCAAGGGTATAATGTCATCCTGTTTGTTATATTAAAAAGAGGTATAATGAAAATGTCGGGACGCCATTTTTGTTGTACTTGTCATTTTGAAATTCTTTTATTTAATTTATAATCTTTTTAAATTCATCTTCAGAGTTAATGTATTTTTCTGAACTGCAACATTATTCAAGCAGTTGATGTTGACATGTTATTAATTAAATGCGCTGCATAATCTACACCACAAGGTGGAGTCTGTGAGTGACAGTGACATGCAGGAGTTCAGAGAAGAAGAGTGTTGTTGTTGTGATGCTCCGGAGTTAGCAAGAAAGCTGTAGTTATTATTGAGCAGCTGAAGAGACTCAGAGTGAATGAAGGTACTGGGTCTTTGTTAAACGCTTAAATAAAGTGAAGACAAGTGAAACAACCTTTCAGCGTCCGCCTGAGTTTCTGGCTGCAACATATTTTGGAGTACTTATCAAGTACTCCGGTGATAAGAAAATTCAACTTTGCAGTTTCCTCTTTCCTGTGAGCGCCGCAGCAGACATGCGCAGCAGTAAGCAACAGACGAGGCTCGCTCACGATGGATTTTTACAAAATAAAAGCCAGTGAGCAACAGACTTTTACAATAAAAAAAAATAATAAAAACTGCGTTAATGCGAGATAAAATAATTGTCGGCGATAATTAATTAATTAGTTAACGCGAAAATAACGCGTTAACTTGCCCAGCCCTAATTATTATATATATATGAATGGAAGTCTGTAGTGTTATTTCAGCTGACATCTCAGTAAGAGACTAAACAAATCCCTAAAGATGGATGCACAAAGTGCGCTCTGCAACATTTTAGCATTACTACTCATAAGCAGTAAAAGTGTTCCAATAATTGAACTATGATGTTCAAGGTGATGCATTCTATAGTCCACATTATTCATATCATTTTGAGTACAAACAGCTGTTTCAAAAAAGTTTTGACGTTCAACAAAGTATTGGTATATTTCAGCTGATGTCATTTTGCAAAACCAGCATATTCAGCAGGGACAACAATGTTGTTTTTGATGACAACAATGAAACTGGTGGATTTGGAGAATTGAAATCAGCTTCAATTCCATATATTCAGACTTTGTTCAATATATTCAGAGTTTAATTCCATATATTCAAGTTTTCATTCAATATATTCAGACTTCATTCCATATATTCAAGGTTTCATTCCATATATTCAAAGTTTCATTCAATATATTCAAAGTTTCATTCAATATATTAATTTCCTGAACGGCTTGCCATATATATATAGTATATTCCACAGTGGTATAAGTAGCTATAATGAAATATGAAATGTCAATTTTATTGTCATAAAATTTTTCTAAATATATAATAAATAAAAAAGCATACCATGGATCGCAGGAAGTGTGTGTGTGTGTGCGTGTGTGTGTGCGTGTGTGCGCGCGCGTGTGCGTGTCTCACTCTGTACTGCTTAAATAGACCTGACTTTAATTGACCATTGCTTTACCAGCCAATCAGAGACACAGTAGGGTGGGTCCTTGTGGAGTGTGAATAATAAATGTAATAAGGCTTTTTTTTATGTAATCCTGTTTTGTTTTTTTTGTTTTGTTTTTTAAACTTATTTTCCTTTCTTACTTGTAGTTGCATTGAATGTGTGACTTTTGCAATATAATTAAGGTTTTTATTTATTGATTGATTTTGGAGACAATGAAAAAGTAAGACATGCGTTTCACAGGGGGTTTAAAAAATATATATTAGATGACATTAGTGATGTGATGTGAACGCTGAGATTCAGCTGATGGAACAGTCTTTTGGGAGTCACTAGCATAACGTTACTATGGTAACTCAGCAGGGATTCATTCAAGCAACTGTAATGGAAGGGAACTCACACTAACATGAGCCAGACTCATCGAAATAAGCGAGATGGAATTCCCCCCTTTTCACGTCTCAGTGACCTATTGAGATAAATATTACATTTGAATCATGCAAAACAAGCATCATTTCTCTCGGTGTATTTTACCAATCAGGGAAATAAAGTGAAAAGGCATTGTAATACTCATGACGGCCACAGGAAGATGAAGTGTATTGCTGCTTCATGTTTCCTTCCAGATGATTTGTTATTTTTTAGCTAAACTGTAAACACAAGGCACTTACAATACATTGTGGGTAAGCTTTTTATAACTATCATACTGGTGTTAGTCATTTATGATTGATGTCCTTCTTTAGGTATAACCTACATCTCATGACAAGTTGCTTCTTTACAAGTGCCTTTATTAAACTGACAGACATTATGCATAAGAAATTAGAACTATTACATTTCTTTTATCCTGGGATAATAAAAAAAGGATGTCAAATTCAGTTAAATTGAGTGGCCATCTGAGGAGCAAACAATGGCATAGTCAGGGGTGCAAAGGAACATGGGAATCCTTAAGTTTAGTTTTGGTCGACTAAGCTCTGCTAATAGTTATTGTTTGTTTTGTTTTGTCAACAGGAGCTCATTCAAAATGGAGATGACGCTAAAGCCACAGAAGTGGTTTTCATCCACGATGAGAGAAGCTACGGGACTGAGAGCCTTTGGACAGACGAATTGGGAGAATACCAAGGTATGCAAGATGTTTCTTGAAATCAGTTGTGGTTTTTATGTGTTGAAAAATGAGAAAAATGGCTATAAATAAACACACACACACACACACAGCATACATACACACATAATTTACATACACACACACACACACACACACACACACACACACACACACACACACACACACACACACACACACACACACACACAGCATACATACATACACACATAATTTACATACACACACACACACACACACACACACACACACACACACACACACACACACACACATACCAGTACATACATGCATACATAAGGTTGCCCAATGACATTTTGTAAACCCCTGATAAAAGGACCACTACTCAAATTTCAGACATGGTCTCAACTCTTTTTGTAGTTGTATGTGTTCTTCTTGTAGTCCATTTTGGTTTGATAAACAAAACGTGTATAATGTTTTTTCTCTTTACCGCATAGTTCTCATTTTTTTATCTTGACAATAACGGACTTATGTGGCGACCTTACACAAACATGCCTCAGCCTTATGGTTTTAGTCACATTAGACTATACTTTTGGCCACTGTATTGCACCTCTAACTATACAAGGATTTATCAAAAGAATACCTCAGCCCATTGATTGGTTCACCAAATGTCACGAGCACTTTTCTGTAGTACAATCATTTTTTTTTTCTATTTTGCAAAGGTCCTGCTCTCTACGCCTACAACAATGCAGCATTCAGTGCTGAAGACTGGGAAGGGATTCAGAAGGTAGGACGGAGTGTGAAACGCAATGACCCCAACAAAGTCGGGAGGTTTGGAATCGGTTTCAACTCTGTTTACCACATTACAGGTAAAATTACCCACATACATATACTGTACCTTATAGTTCTAGTTAGACTTTTGGTGTTGAAAAAAACATGTTTAGTAACATGTTTTACCCGTTTTTATTTCACAGATGTGCCAAGTATATTCAGTTCAGAGCACCTTGGCTTTATGGACCCTCAAGAACAAATATTTGGAAGTGGTGGTTTCCGGTTGTCTTTAGAAGATGAAGAAGACCAAGGAGTCCTGATGAATATGTCTGATCAGTTTCAACCATTTCAAGATATAGTTTCACTAGTAAGTGGACAAAAGTGGTCAAAAGTCATCACTGAGGATCAACACTTTGACGGAACCATTTTCAGATTCCCCTTGCGCAACAGAGCATCAAAGATTTCAGACAATCTATATGACTCCAACAAGGTGGTCGAGCTTTTCGATAGCTTCATTGCAGATGCAGAATTAAGCCTCCTGTTCCTGAAGAATGTGACCTCTGTTTCCTTGATACATATCGACGTACACGGAACTGTTAACACCAGACTTGAAGTGAAATCCTCGGTCCCATCAGATGTCATGTTGGAGTCTGAAGACACGTCAGTGATTAAAAGTTCAACAGCATTCAAACTGATAACCCTCAACTCAGAAGAACACAAAGAATCGAAGTGGCTTGTGACAGCATGCACACTGAAAGAAGGCAATGTAGAAAATCTTGATTCACTAGCAAAGAAGTTGAGCTTTTTTCCTCAAGTTGACTTGGCGTTCTTTTGTGGTGAGAAGAGAGACAACAGTGAGAGTCGACTGAGCTGCTTCCTCCCTCTTCCAAACAATGAATCAAACAAGACAGGACTCCCAGTTTATGTCAACGCATGCTTTGGCCTCACAGACAACAGAAGGCACATCAAATGGCAAGAGGAAGACCAGAAACATGACGAGCATGCTGTATGGAATGAACTGCTGATGAAGGAGGTGCTTCCAAAGGCGTACGTCCAGATCATTGAGGATGCCATCAAACTTGCACAAGAATCTACTCTGCCTGTCTCCTCTGTGTACGATCTGTGGCCAGATGTCGACCAGATAAGGCACAGACAAAAATGGTATGCAGTTTCCCTGGATGTTCTTCATCACTTATTCAGACAGAATGTGGCCGTCCTTTCACTTGCCAAAGATGAAAAAAAGTTTATCACCGTGTCAGAAGCTGTGTTTCCCTGTAACGGTCCAACAAGCTCGGACATACTGGCCGCCATCAAGAGAACCTTGGTTTCCTGTGGAGAAAAGCTTGTCACTTTACCAGGTAGTGTTGCAGGAGCTATAAAAGAGGCGTACCCACACTTCAGCACCCTGAAATATGTGACCCCAGCTCTCCTAAGGGACATTCTCCGCAGAAATGGTGTCCACCTCATCTCTAAAGAGGATAAACTGAGCCTTTTGGAGTTCATTTTGAGTGATGGAAAATACAGAGAGCTCAAGGGTCTTCCGATGCTTCCACTCAGCGATGGCTCTTTCAGGTCTTTCACAGACAGAGACGAGGACACTGCTTTGATTGACAGCGACAGATTTCCAAGGTAGGGTTTCACATTTGGCTGTACTTTTACATCTAATGTTGAAATGTGTTGTTTGTCCAAAATAACATGTTCATTTTGATTAATAACATGGAAAAGTCACACATGTCACAAAAAATGTGTGCAGTTTCTGACATCGTATGTCACTGAGTGGGCAACTGTCAACAAAGCAGCTTTTTAATCATGATAAAAAATGGCTTTAATTTGATATAGATTTCAAAAAGTTCTGATGTTATTTAGAGAGCAATTGTGTGTTTGTTGGAGTGGGGGGGTCGATCCGATTACAGTCAAATAGAATTTTAAATGACAAATAACCTTATAGTAATAGGGTAATGCAGATTAAGTCCACCTGTAATTAAATGCTTCTCACATTATTGATCTATGTGGTAACAAAAGGAGATCCCTTTTTTAATCGCCTGACAGCAATAATTATTTGATTTGGTTACTGCTGTTTACCTTTTGATTATCACTGTAGTATTATTATTATTATACTTGATCTAATCAATGATTACTACTGATAAATAATATATCTATATAATAGCATGCGCATATATTCATAGTAAGCTGTAGGATCATTTTAAGAACTCGGGCGAATAAAGCATCACTTCTTATCATTTTGTTAATCTTTTGCATGTTTAAATGGTGTTTTCTTAAGCAAAATCTTATCCTGCTTTCCTGCTGACAGTCTCTTTTGATTTTATTCATGTAGGGCATTTATATCAGCAAAAACATCTCCTCCAGTGTTTCTGAATTAATGAGTTAACTTTCTCTTTAATTTGTAAAAACAGCAGATTTTTATTAGGTTCATAAAACATAATATCTTAATTCTGAGATAACTATCTTGTTCATTTAGAAAATATAGAAGATTTTTATTTTCACAAGTGAATGCAATACGTTTTTGTAAGTTTCATGGTGGATTCATGTTGGGTACTTTAAAATAATATAATAAGAGTACAGTCTAGCCCTGCTCTGTATGTGGAGTACCTTTAGATAACATTTGTTATGAATTGGTGCTTTACAGAGAAAGATCGATTGAATAAAGACTGATCTTGAAAATGTCAAAATTTTTGTACATGTACTTCTAAACTTCTTTTTTTGTGCAGAGTCCTGCTTCCATGCTGCAAGAACCTCTTCATCTCAGACGATCTCAGTCCAGTTTGCAGTGCCCACTTGAAAGAAATGGCCAAAAAAAGTAGGAATGCAATGTTACAGAATACAGGACTTTTAGATCTGCATAAATGTAATGCATGTTCTCATGCTAAATACCAATATTTGATTACATTTTTTTCACAAATCTCTTTTTCAGATCTTTTCAAGGTCTTCAACATCGATGCGGACAAGGTGGCTCAGTATATGAAGAGCTATTTGCCACACGACTGGAAGCAGACAAGAACAGGGCTTGTTACCTGGGACACAAGCAGCAGCCAACATCCACCTTTAAACTGGCTCCAAGAATTCTGGACATTTCTCAACACTCACTTCAAAGAGTTAAGTAAATTCACTGGAATGCCTTTAATACCGGTTAGTCCACTGCGTTATAATCAATCTGTATCACTAGCAAGACTACAGCAAAATACATCCCTCATTTTTCAGAGCAGCAAACAGATAAACTTGCCAGAACAAATAGCTCAGTTGGTGGACAAAGTCGGTGGCACAGTGGTGAGAGGAAATGAGTGGCTCAAGCATGAAGACCTGGACTCATATGTACTGTGCCCATCTCCAAAGAGTGTCATGAAAGTCTTTGTAAATTTAGATACTCAAGAACTCATCAGAGAACTCAGGACAGCCTCTCATGAAGCACGAGAAGAGCTTAAAGAGTATCTGTCTCATCTGGATTCTCTCTCAGTAAATGAGAAAGATTTACTGTCTCAGTTGCCTCTGTTTCAAACTATGAAAGGATCCTATGTTGAAGCTCAATCAAAACAGGCTGTGCTGCTTATTTCTGGTCTAACAGTACCAACCGAGCTCCCAATGCCTGATTCAGTTGTGAAGTGTGCAACTGAAGCTGATCGCAGACTGTTACAGCTGCTCAAAATTAAGCTCTTAGACACAGCTGGTGCAGGAAATATCCTCCTTGACAGTATTGAGAGGGGGACTTGCAGCAAAGAAGACACTCAGAACATTATGGCTTGGATCTTACAGCATGGTAAAATCCTGTTCTCTCATAATCAGACCTTGAAAAGAAGATGCAAGGACTTGAGTTTCATTGAAGTGAATGGAGGCCTAAGAAAGACGTCAAGCTTTTTTGATCCAACGATGCAAACTTTTAAGGACATTTTCGAGTCCGATTTTTTCCCACCACCTTTCTACAGAAAAACATCCCAGATGCTTGAAAGCCTAACAGATCTTGGATTGCTAAATAAAGAAGCAGATGTGGCACCAGCTCACTTGCTACATGCTGCCAAACTAATTGAAAACCAGAAGGTTGCCTCCCAAATGGAGGCTCTCAAAAGAGCCCAGGTCCTCTTAAAGATGTTGGACACCAATGATCTTCTGTCAAAGTTTTCTCATGAGCAACTGGAGTGCCTCAAAAAGCTAAAATGGGTACCAGGTACAAAACCTGGTAATGACAAAAAGAACAGTCATGAAAAATCCCCCAAAAGTTGTTTCTTTTGTCCAGATGAAATGAGACATTCTATGTATGATGACATTGTGGGGCATGTCATGCCTCTGGTGGGAGAGTTCAGTGAAAGAGTTAGCAGACAATTAGGACTCAAATGCCCACCCCCACCTCAAAAAGTAATAGAGAATTTGACAGTCTTGAAATCAAAAGCAAAGAAAATGACTGATCCTGACACAGATGTGGATTTCAAAAAGCAGTTGCATAGCATTTACAAACACATGCAAGACCACATCTCTGAATTTACAAAAATAATGACAAAGGACACATGCTGGCTTTGGAGCCAATATCAGTTTGTATCACCGCAGGATCTGGTTCTTGAATACCCACGTCATTTAGATCTGAGCTCTCACATTGGGAAGGTGCCCAATGAATTCCTGCCCTACAAAGGGTTGCTCCAAAAGTTTGGACTTCGGACTAGGCTTTCAGATGAAGAAATTGTTGGCATTCTTTCTTCTATCCAGCATTCTATTGAAGGGAGGCAAGACGCATGTGCAAGTTCCTCTGAGATAAAAGTGTCAATAGAAATCCTAAACTGGCTGTGGAGAGAGAAGAAGATAGTTGTAGATGATATCGCAGTGCCAGTCCTGACAGAAGGTGAACAATACACCCTTAAACCCCTATCAACAGCTGTCTTCTGTGATGTCAGTAAAAGTGGGTTGAAAGAGCTTAATCACAGCCAGGAAGAAATTAACGTCATTCATGAGGAAATCCCAAAAGCTACTGCAGAATGGCTGAATATCCGCTTCCTCAGTTCCTACATCCTTGCTCCAGAGTTAGTGGGAATAGAACAGTGTGGACAATCTGAACCGATAACAACAAGGATTAAAAACATTCTCAAAGAGTATGATGAAGAAAGTGACATCTTCAAGGAGCTCATTCAAAATGCAGAGGATGCCGGGGCAAAAGCCTGCAAGTTCTTGGTGGATTTCAGAGTCCACAAAGATGCCCCTGAAAGTCTCATTGACCCTGACATGAGCCTTTGTCAGGGACCTTGTCTATGGGCATTTAATAATGAGCAGTTCTCAGCAGAAGACTGGAAAAACATTGTCAGGGTTGGCGCTGCCTCAAAAGAAAACAAGGCAGAGAAAATAGGAAAGTTTGGACTTGGATTCAACACTGTGTATCATTTGACAGATATTCCCTCCATCCTCAGTGGCAACCACCTTCTCATACTGGATCCAAATGTAACTCACCTCAAGAAACACATCAAACAGAAATCAAATCCTGGAATAAAGCTGGATCTCTCCCAGCAACGAATATTTCATTGGTTTCCTGGCCAGTTTGGGCCATATGAAGGCATTTTTGACTGTAACTTCACCAGACAGAGGCTTCCTGAACCCTATCCGGGCACTCTAATCAAACTACCTTTCCGAACTGAAGAAGAAGCCCTCAAGTCAGAAGTAAGCTCAAATGTGTACCACAAAGACCGTATTGTCACTTTTCAACAGGACTTTATCAGGAATTCACAAACTCATCTTCTTTTTCTGAAGAAAATTAATACATTGTCTCTTCAAAGTATTGCTAATAATGTATCTACTCCGCTAAGAGATGATGAAAAAAAATCCCTCCTTTCTCTCTCCAAAACCACTTTCAGTACAATGAAGATTCCTGATGAGAACAGTGAGTCAAAGCAGCTTCAAGCTGAAAAATCATTAAAGAAACTTGATGGAAAATGCAAAGAGATAATTGACTGCTGCAAAGTCAACATTGTCCAAATGACAAGTGAGCAATCTGGTGTGACCGAAGTCCAGTCCTGGCTCCTGTATAACTGTTTTGGAACAGATCAGTCTTTGCAAATGGCACTGCAGGAAAACAAACAATCAAAGTTCTCTTTACCCATCGGGGGAATCGCAGTGCCTGTGCAAAATGATCCAGAAACTGGTAAATTTGCCCCTCGACAAACAGATCTTGTTGGACAGGCATTTTGTTTCCTTCCTCTGTCCATTCAGACAGGTCTTCCAGTCAATGTAAATGGAACATTTGCTGTGACAAGCAACCGAAGAGGTCTGTGGGAGAGTGGAGTAAAACATGAATGGAACAAAGCCCTTCTTCAAGATCCTACAGTGACAGCATATGTTACTTCACTCCTGGCACTAAAGAAAATGTCTGAAGACCAACAACTGGAAAATTACCAGTATCACACCTTTTGGCCTGATAGAGAGAAAGTGAGTGAAACATTTAAGCCTTTGGTGGATGCATTTTACAACGCCATTGCCCAGCCCTCCACAGGTCCAAAGCTCTTTAGCGATGGAGAACATTGGTGCTCAATGAACAGTGCTATATTTCTACACGAGAGCATTGAAAAGGATAAAGACATCAGTCAACTTGCAGTGCAGGTGTGCAAGACAATTGCAAAAGAACCCAACCATGTTGTCCCTCTTCCACTGTGGTTAAGAAATGGCTTCAAACAGGCTGGCCTGGAAAAGATTCTACAGGACAGAACATGGTCCTGGGAGAAGTTTTACGAAGAAGCAGTGTTCAAGAACCTTGGTACCATGGATCAAGAGAGTAGAGATACTCTTGTGCTGCATGCCATTGACCTAAACATCAAAGAAATTGACAATTTACTGGTCCGCTATCCATGCATTCCTACAAAAAGCAGCCAGCTCCAGTATATCACTAAACTTGTGAATCCATCAGGGAAAGTGGCTTCTCTCTTTGAACCAGAAGAGGGACGCTTGCTTGGTGGTACCAATAAAGACTTTCGTGCTCCAAAAAGGATTCAACGCTTGATGGAACTTGGAATGGCAAATGATAATCTCCCTTTAGAAGACATCACAGAGAAAGCAGCTGCAATCACTAAAATCTGGAGCACTGATGAAGAAAAAGCATATGGGCATTTGAAGTGTCTTCTTGACCTTATGAAGAGTCACTTGTATGATGAAGACTCTCCTCACTGGGAAACACTGAGAATTACTGAATTTCTCCCAGCATTTTCCCCTATTGGTACAAAAAAGGAAAAAAATGTCACACTTAGAAGACCTACTGATATTTTTAGTGACAACTGCTCCCTACTTGTTAACATGAAAAAACCAGTGCTGGATCATTTGAATCTGAAAATACACAGCAATGATCCAGTCCTGAGAATGTTGGGAGTTCATAACAGTCCAAGTCTTGAGGAAGTGTTTCAGCAGCTGCAAGAAGCATGTAAGCGAAATAAATCTACTGACGGATCCATGCTTCAGCAAATAGCATATGAATGCTACAAGTTTCTTGATCAGTGGCTCTGTAATTCTGGGGATTCCAGCTCCATTTCACAAAGGGCAAATTCATTTCAGTTCATTCTTGTTGGCAGTACATTTGTAAATGTGAACCGTGTCGCAGAAAATGGGCAATTTGAAGCAAAACCCTACCTCTACATACTTCCACCCACCTTCAGCTTGTTTAAGAGGCTCTGGGAAAGTGTAGGTGTTGAAAAACATTTTACACTCAGTCAGTTTCAAACTGTGCTTCAAAAATTGCACACTCAACATGGCAACAAGCCCCTGCCAAAGAATGATCTATCACTTTGCCTCACAATTTTAAACAAAGGGATCTATGAGGCCGAAGAGAAACCAACGGGAGACTTTCTGATACCCAATGAACATGGTGTATTACAACCTGCAAGTAAGATGTTTTACAATGACAGCCCATGGTTGCCAGACGTGGCTTCAGGTGTCACATTGTGTCATAAAAATATTTCACGTGCAATGGCTGGCCATTTTGGAATTAGAACAACAAGGCATCATACCCTGAAAAACTGCACAGTTGAGAACACTTCACCATTTGCATTTCACTTTGAACAGCAAGAACAACTAACTGTTCGTATTAAGAACATCATTTCAGCCTATCCAGCAAAGAAGGATATCCTTAAGGAGCTTATCCAAAATGCTGACGATGCAGAGGCAACAGAAATTAATTTTGTGTGGGATAAACGACAGCATGGCAAAGAAAAAACATTTGGAAAGAAATGGAACTATCTGCAGGGCCCAGCACTTTGTGTGTTCAACAACAAAGTGTTTTCTGATGCTGACCTGAAAGGCATTCAACAGCTGGGGGAAGGAGGAAAGCACAACTCTGCAGGAAAGACAGGAAAATACGGAGTTGGATTCAACTCTGTGTACCATCTCACCGACTGCCCCTCAATCCTCACTGGAGATAACTACTCTGCATTTCTGATCCTAATCAAAAATACATTGAGAGTTATTCAGACGAAGCACAGCTGGCACTGGCTATAAACTAGTTGGCAATTTCAAGAACATGTACATGGATGTCTACAATTCATTTTTGCCAGAAAAGTTTTCTCTGAAGGATGGTACCATGTTCAGATTACCCCTAAGGATGGGTACAATGGCAAACAGTTCCAAAATATCAAATCAAGGAGTCACTGACCAAGATATGAGAGAACTATGCTCTGCCCTCGCTGAAGATCCTGAAGGACTCATTCTGTTTCTGAAAAACATCCGCAAAATACAAGTCCATGAAATCAATGAACATTCAGGGAAACTGGAAACCACTTTTGCAGTTGAAAAAAGTGTTCCACAGAGTAGCAGAGAGAAGAAAGATGCTTTTGTACAACTCAGACAAAATGCACTGCAATCAGACAAACCAACAATGCCAGACAAAGCCATCTATGGAACTGTGATTTCAACCTCAGATAAAAGAGAAAGTAAGTGGATCATTGCCGAGCAGTTTGGCTCATTCAAAAACAGCGGAGAAAAAGCAGTAACTTCAACAGAGATACTTCCCCAGGCAGCAGTAGCAGCTCGTGTGAGCTCTAAGTTTGATAACACTTCATACATTGCACCATCCAGCTATATGGATTTTATTGGAGAAGCATTTTGTTCACTTCCTTTGCCAGGGGAAACTGGACTGCCAGTGCATGTCAATGCAAACTTTGAGGTAGATTCAGCCAGGAGAAGCCTTTGGAAAGAAGATGGGCAAAGTCAAAAGTCTAACTGGAATGAATGTTTGAAACATAATGTCATTGCACCACTGTATGCAGATCTTCTTCATTACATCAGCTATAATATTCCGGATAAGAAAGTCTCTAAAGCAAGTATTGAGTCACGCTTCAGTAGCTCGTACTTGTGCTTTTGGCCATCTGTGTCCCAGGATGTTGGTCAAGAGTGGCATGAAATGATACATGAAGTATACAAATCAATCAAAGAAAGAGGCCTCAAGGTGATTCCGGTTTTGAGGAGTTCAACACGTACTATTGCTGACAGAGAAATACGAGAGTACTCGTTTGAGTGGCGTGACATCAGAGAAACTGAACCAACCAAGCAACTGTACATGACACACTCGACATACGATGAGATTCATCCCATTTTGGAAGGACTTGAAATGGAATTGGTTCCATTTTCCATGGAAATGATAAAAGTGTGGAATGGTTTTAGATCGGCTGGCATTGAAGTGAAAGATGTGAATCCATCAACTGTGCAGACTTTCCTGAGGGAAAAACCTATCAATGACCCTACCCAGACTGACCAGAACTTACCCCTGCATATAACTGAAACTCTGATCAGAAATGAAAAAAGATGTTCAAAGCTCCTGAGTTTCTGCCTAAAGGTGTCCCCCTCAAAAACCAAGGTTGATTCTGGTTTACTAGATGGGCTTCCGCTGCTTCTCACAAGAGATAAAGTTTTAAGACTGTTTAACTCGGAGTCTCCCAAACTGATATCAAGATATGAGAGACTCTTTACTGGCAATGAGGATAAATTTGCAGATTATGAGACCAACGGAGAACATATTCATGTTCTAAAAACCTTGAACTTTGTTAAAAGTTTGACACTTCCAGAGGCAGCAAAATACCTGAAACCTCTTACTGAACAACGTCTGAATGAATGTGATGTTGACCCAGACAGTGGCCTTCATGTCCCAAACAAAACAACGTGGAATTGGTTGAATCCCCTTTGGAAGTTCTTAACAAGCCAAATCACAACTGTCACATCTAGTGATGATGAAAAGTCAAAGTCAAGTGTGAAGATGAGTGATGTGAAGCAGCACTTCAATGACTGCTGCATTCTACCTGTTGTGTGTCCAAGGTTGAAAAACAAGTACCTCCTGCAAACAATGAAAGACATGCCAAGTGTGATTCGGTTTGCCCTAGATACAGACATATCGGGCATCCTCTTCAAGCTGGGTTTCATGAAGCTTAACAACCTATTCATCTCTGATGCACTTCAAACACAGGAGCGTTCCCTTCTACACGCTGAACTTATGGATGTCAATGATAAAAGCTCTGTGTTGGACCAGGTCTACAAAGTAAGTCACTCAGAGTTTTCCAAGCTTTCCGATGACAACTTTAAAGAGCTTCAGCATTTCCTGCAGTCTGGACTATCTAAGTCCAAAGACAAACAACTGTATCAGAGAATGCTGAAATCTTTGCCAGTATTTGAAACCATACATGGTACCCGAGTGAGGATCGATGGACCAAAAGAGGTATTTGTCCTCAACAGCAAATGTTCAAAGTCTTTTCCAGATTTGTTTTCCCTGCAGAACAGCAACAGCATTTTTCTGCAAAACAATCCAGAAAACTCAATGCTGTCACAATCTCTGGACATTAAAATCCTTGATGACTTGGAGTATTTCATGAAGTTCATTCTGCCTGATGTACACACACTCACAGAGGGGCAGCTGATTCACTGCCTCAAACTGTTGCTGTCACCCGAGCTCAATTTCAGTTATTTTAAGCATAGGGACAAAGTCATCTCCTCATTTAAGACAGTGAAATTGATTTGCAATTCTCAAGGCATATTGGAGACAGCATCATATTACTTTGATGATGGTGTTGAGCTATACCAGAAAATGTTGCCCCAAGAGAGATTTGTGCCTGAGAAAATTTGGACTGAGTTGTGTTGCGGAGATACACCATCACGAGACAGACCAAAGAAGTTACTCCAAGAACTTGGAATGAAGTATGTTGTGTCAAAAGATGACATTATAACTTTTGCTCACCAGATTGAGTCAGAGGCAAAAGGAAATGGTCCACTCAAAGAGTTAAAGCAGAAATCATCATTACTTATCAGAGCAGCCTTCTCCATAGTGAGTAATGACAAAAACAAAGAGGAAAATTTGCTGGAGATCATAGCTGACATCAAGTTCATTTTTCCCGTGGAAATTCAAAAGGAACTATGCAGCTATCACCAACAATTTGCTGCAGAGAGAACTACTGTGGCAATCAGAGGATCAATGATGGCAGGAGATCCCAAGCATCAAGAACTGATTTGGTCTTCAATGCCAATCATACATCTACCGTTTAGGGACAAAAACCTCCTGAAAAAGATGAAAAATGCTGGCGCTCATGAACAACCACCATCACAATGTGTAACCAAAAACATGAGCAACATCTGCCAGTCACCCTGTAAAACTGACAGCTTGCTCAAAACTCGTGCTAATGTGTTTCGAAGTTCATATGCTTATCTACAAGGGGTGGAATTTGAAGGCAAAGCACTGGCTGGTCTGCCTGTTGTGTTGGTTGAAAGAGACACAGAGCTTGTGAGGGCTGATAATACCGCTTTTTCATTCAACGATTACTTAGAGTTCAGGCCATATTTGCACAAAATTTCTCCACAGGATGTGAAGTACGAAGAATTCTTCAAGAGAATTGGTGTAAATGACAAACCTACTGCATTGCAGTATTGTAATGTACTGGCAGCTGTTCATGCAGATTCCCATGACAAACCACAACTAAACCCAAACCAACAGAAAACTGTGAAACGTGCAGTTCAGCTGCTTTTTCAGTTAATAGAATCTCAAGAAAAAAATCCATCCTTCATTGATGATGTGAAGACTCTGTATCTTCCTGCTGTTGATGGCAAATTGTATCCATCGTGCACACTCTACTACAATGACACAGTGTTCGAGACTAAAAGGTTAGAGGCAGCACTAAAGGACAAGTTCCTATTGCTTGAGAAACTCAGTGAATGCCATTTGGGAAAAGATGTCTATAAGCATCATCGGTTGCTCCAATTGCTGCCTCAGAAGTTTCAGCCAAAAATGCTGTCTCAGTACACAGAAGAGAAAATAGTAGAATCAAACATGCAGCTTTGTGAGTTTGTGACTGAGTGTGAATTTAGTGGATGGTTTGAAAAACATCTTTCCTCTGTCGGGTTTACACATGGAATGATTTGTCTCATCAGAGATCAGTCAAAGGGAGATATAACAGATGAAGAAGCAGCTGACATGTGCCGGAAGACTTTTGGCAGAATTCAGATTGTCTGCTGCAAAAGCCTGAAAACAGAGCTTTGGGTGGATAAACAGCCCCTACACAAAACTGCCAGGGAATCAGATGTGTTTGTCAAACAAGAGCAACAAGGTTGTATCTTTTACTTACGCCATGACAACATAAATCCCAAGGTGTTAATGGACATCAGCATGACATTGTCACAGGGGATTAATTCGATTTTAGGCAATAAGATTGCATCAAAACATCTCCCGGTCCTTGGACTACTTCTCATGTGTAGCACTCTGCAAGAGGTTCAGAAAACTCTTGCCAAGAAAGGGATTCGTGACTGTGCCGGAACTAAAACTCTCCCCCTTGACCCACCACTTCCTGGAAAAGTTATTCCAGAGGAATGGCATGATTCCTTGGACCAGAACGTCCTCAATAACTTTGAAGAGGGGGAATATGTTGGCTACAGCACTGACACTGAGTATATTTATGCTATCATTGTTGAAGAACTGCGTGGTCACTCTGGACAGTATTCACGACGATACAGAATAGATATTGGAGAAGATGAGGCAATTGAAGTCAGCTGTCTTGACCTGTTTCAGTTTAAACGGAAAAAAAAGCCAGAACCCAAAGGCACGACAAATTCTTGCATGGAGCTGGAGCCACTAGCAGGAGCTGTGCCTCATTCTTTTCATCCATCGACCTCAAGTTCCTCAAGTTCCTCAAGTTCCTCAAGTTCCTCATCTTCCAGATCCTTACCAAACTCCATTGATGAAGCTAAAAGTGAAATTGACAGATGCTTAGGAGAGATCTGGACTCTGCCTAAGGAGGAGAGGCATAAAGCCATCAAACGTCTGTACCTGAGATGGCATCCTGACAAAAACCCAGACTGCCAATTATTCGCCACTGAAGCGTTCAAATATTTGCAGAATAAAATTGATGAGCTCAGCAAAGGCAAAGGAAGTGGGAAAGGTGCAGGCTCAGGCTCGGGCTCATCTTGTCCAAGGGGAAACGCTAATTTCAGCCACTCAGATTTCAGCGACTTCTTTCGTCAGTGGAATCAGGAAGCCAGGCGTCACAGAGATAATCGAGAGAGTTATTCTAGACGGCACCATTCCTACAACTTCTGGAGCCATAATGAAAATGTCCCGAGGCCAGACAGAGATGAGGCCAAGCGTTGGTGCAGACAGGCTCGCTGTGATCTCAATGCAGCTCACAAAGACACTGGTGGTGGGAGCAAAGAGTGGTGCTTGTTTAAAGTCCATCAAGCAGTGGAAAAGTCTCTTATAGCTGCAGGGTATAAAAAGGATGGTCAGCATCTTACAAGCAGCTCCATTTCAGCCATGGCTGCAAAAGTTTCCCTCTACAACCTTCAACTGAGAGTTTTGCCTAAAATTGTTGATGCTCTGAGGATGCTAGGAGTCGACGCCAAAAAGACTCAGTATCCAAACTGCCACCAATTTCCCCATATTCCAAATGAGCAGTTCGAATCAAAGGATGAAACCCTAGCAATCAGCAAGGCATCTGAACTTCTAGATATAGTGGAGGCATATGTGAATTAAGGATTCAAGACAAACTGGCATTTCCTGTTAGTCAGTTTAATATCAAAGTTTGATCTTAGAATACAAGACAAAAAAGAAAAGGATCAGACAGACTAAAGTGAAAATGTTTTTTCTTTCTATTTCTATTTTCTAAAAGGCTATCCAATGTATCACAAGAAATATGTTTAAATGTAGATGTCAAGGTACCACTCACTGATGACCAATATTATCACTTAATGTCTATATGATTTGCTAAATGTCACTTTTCTTTAAGGTATCATTCATAACAAGCTGCTTGCTGAGGGTAAGCGCGTGCCTCTATGGCTTTCTTGAAATGTTAACTGTACATTGATAACACTTGTGATCGATGTTATTTCTCTGTTTTACTGTTTGGAATAGCGAGGATTTTATTTTTTATTATTCATTTAAAACTCATTTAAAATTCATCAAAGAAGCAATTGAAGACATTTCTGACTTTGTTTTTGCAATATTGTAAACATAGATATTCACTGATGACCAATACGATGAACGTTTTGTTATGAGGCATTCGATTAGTTTCTCTTCTCATTTCTGTGTGACTGTTAAGACTATTCCAATATTTTCTTTTTTATAAATGTTAAGATAACTTCTCTTTGTGGATCAACATAATTACTATGACTTTGTTTTCTAAAAATTACAATTTGAATTTATTTTGCATTGTTGTGAACATTTATAGCCTAGATGGCTCACTGTACAACTTGATGGTTTATTATCCAGAACTACTCAGTTAGACACTGTACTACTTTTTTATGCTGTTATTAAAATATTGTTTTTTTCTCACCTTGAAACTGTTAAATAAAAATGATTAAAAACTAATTGAATTGACAGCCATTTTTGTTTGATATTTTCAAATACCCTTGTGTTTGTGGCCAGGGTTAGGACAGTTGCTCTGTGGCCTTAAGAGTAGAGGAAACAAGAAAAGAAGATTCCTATGATGAGGAGGGTGTTGGTTATGGTTGTGTACTTTGTGATATAGTTTACTTTTAAAAGACAAATATGCAATTCCCAACCACCTTTGGTGTTATTTCTAATTCAAAGCTCTTTTAGTCTGTCATATTGGTCATACTGTTGTTTTGCTCATTATGTTGCAAAAACCGTAGACACTGTTAGGTCTAGAGTAATGTTCAGTATTTTTAGCCTTATGGTATCTGTGAAAGTTGCCTCAGCATTGCACTAGAAGAAGCCATAAAAACGGAGTATGAGGTTGGGAAGATATTTGTTTTATTCACACTTCTTATAGGACCCATTGTAAAACTAGGCAGAAGATTTGAATGGGTCATTTTGTGTAATGAGAACTCATCACACTACTGGTGTGGGCATTAACAGGCACTGATTTAGGACAGTCAGTTTTTCAGATGAAAAAGGAAAAACACAAATTGAGTTTTTAAGAAACAAAATATGGAAAAACAGCCATTTGTCTTTTCTCTTTCTCCGTGTAAATAAATGAAGAGACCAAGTGCTTACTGTTTTTTTTTTGCTAATCTTGATTTATTTAACCTTTTTTGGTTTGAGAAAGAAGAAGTGCATTGAAGTTAAAGTTAAAGAATCTACATAAAAGCAATAATATAGAGTGTACTGGATCTATATCAGGGCAATGTTAGATGATAGTCTATGCTATTAATGACATTTTTATCCCAGCCCAGCTTCTGCTTGAACAGCTGAAGAGAATTAAAAAAAAAAAAAAAAACACACACCTGGGTTTAAGCTGAAATCATCTTTTGATCAACTCTAAATAGACATGACACTTTGATGCCAGTGAAGACAAACATCTCAAGTTAAAAGCACTTTTTTATTCATTAAGAAATCATGTTATGAAAATAATGACAACTAACCGTATATCAGACAAATGTATCTTTCTGTGTGTTAACATAAAAGTTTGCTCTGGAGGATGGGACATCTCTACCTTCTCCAGAGCCAAACTCTCCTTGTGTTTGGAGTGTGCTTCGTCTCATCTCTGCATGTGGTCAGTTCCCGTCGTACTTTCTATAAAAATGTTTACAAGACTTTCCACGTCTCTTCCCAATGTTCACACGAGTAGAATTCAAATCATTTCTTGCTTGTGAGGGAGACGTTCAGATATATACCAGATTCAGTCTTTGCAATCCTTAAAACTCCTCCATCTGTTAATAATTTACACAAAAACCTGTACATACTTACAGCAGGCCGCAACCTGTTTCTGAAGGGGTGTGCACATACAAAAAGAAGCAACTCACAGTGAAGTGAATCTTTTACAAAGTCAATGAGATAAAGGGGAAGGTTAAAGTGTTATGAGCATATTACAATCTTGCCTTATACAACACATGCAGCTAAACAATTTTCAGCTCTCATTCAACCTCATGGCACTCAAAATGAAGATGATGTTCTGCGTTTAGATCATACCAGCTACAAGTTCTTCAAGTCTTTTGCTATGGAACACTAATGAACAAGGGACAGACATAAATAAAAAATAAGTGTGTGTTTGTAATGGCTGGATGTTAGGATCAAGTATATTCATCTTCAATCAAGACTTTGGGTGCAATAAGAGCAGGATTCACCACCAATTGCCTCACTCTGCATATTCCTGCCCTATCCAACAGCTGATAAAACTTCACAAAATTAAGTAACACAGGCGCAGAGATAGGAACAGGTATCTGAAAAAACACTTAAGGCTTAATTCATAGAATTTGGTTCGTTGCTTATAGTAAGCAACTCCCCACGTCATGACTTTGAATGATCGGCACTTACTGTCGCTCCTAGCAACATCTTTCACGTCACACATATTGCATTTCGTTCAGGTAAAACAAAAACTAACCTACACATTTAGAAAAGAAACAAATTTAAGTCAAACCACATTATTTTCTTTGCATCCTCGTTACTGACACTACAAACTAAAGCACTACAGCTGAAAAATGAGAAACAGATAACCCTAACTGCCCCTCCTCCATCAGCCCTGCTGTGTGCTTCATTGTTAATGTCGTGACATGATCTGAACTGCCTGAACATTAAAAATCAGGGTTACTATAGGAGGCAGCTTTAATCTGTAGAGAAGATGCCACAGTTGTGATGGAATTGTACGCGGAAGAGATTCTGTAAAAAGTGTTCCACTAATGGCACAGGAGGCTCTGTGAACATGAAACAAGGTAGAGCATGTTTGAACCAGGTTTAGTGTACTGGCATCAGTCCAGTTCTATGGCACATGTGTATGGAAAACTCAAACAATATGCTGGATTCTGACAAAGTAAAGTCTGTTAATGGCACAGTGTAGTATTAAAACTTAACCTCCTGCTGTACTGCTATGAGGCTCTGTCATACATACAGAACTCAAAAGAGCCAAAACGCCCTTTAAACGTTTTTTTTGTAGAGTCGACAAATCACTGGCAGAATCTGACATGAGGTTTTGTTGATCTCTTGGTATTTCTCTCCATTCTGTGGTGAAGTTTTGCATCTTTCAAGATATAAGAGGGCAGCATTTCTTTCTTTCACTAATGCCATGCTTGCGACTACAAGCCTCCGTCTTGCTGCCTCTTGGTTGCGCGATAAGCCACATGTAGGGGGGGAAAAAAAGACTCCTGCAGCGGGACCCTCACATGTTGTAAGCCACATATATGGGGTCCAGCTGGTCGGCCAGGAATCCATCTCTGAGGTGCATACGTTGCTTCTCCCCTCGGGAGTTGATGGGGATGACGCCGGGGTCCACCACCACCACTACACCTACGATGAGGTAGTGCTCCTCCAGCACAACGTTGGTCACTAGGGCAACCAGGTCCAGGGCCTCCTGCTCTGATCCCTCCAGTTCCACGACCACCACAAGGAGGTTTGTCCAAGTGAACACCGCACTGAAAGGAGGAGGAAGAGGTGAAGGATGTATGAAGGGAAGGAGACAAACAAAAAAAACAGAGACGGGGGGCAGACAAAAGAACACAAAATGGTCAAATAAATGTTTTGATGTCATGATTAATAGAATTAAAGAAGTGATCAATAATCAGTGTAAACTCCTCACCATTCAGCTATGCTCTTGTGTGAACGGATCACAGAGGTTTCGATGTCAATAGGATGATACCTCATCCCCCTCAGCTCCAGAGTCTCATCGAGAGAGCCCACCACATAGAGGGCATCATGGCGCTCTGGGAAACACACATTACACACAGTCACACACTTTGTATCTGATAAAAGTACAGTTTTGCTGTGGAGAGAACATAACCTAATGCCCCGACTATAAATCACAGCAAGCTCTGATGATTCTCACCTCCACTTGCATCAGTCAGTTCAGTGCGCCGCAGGAAGCCCAGGTACCCTGTCCTCGCCCAGACACTCTGGGTGTCACCGAAGCTGAGCTTGGTGTTGAAGTGGTCTGCATGCAGCGCCTCCTCACCATAAACTGTGTAGTAGCCTGTGGCATTGTGAGGACTGCTCACCCAGATCTATAACACACAGGACAAAGGGTATAAGTGAGTGATTAATGGTTAATCATACATGACTGTCTTTCTCTTGTTTTAGATTAAAAAAACTTATGAATCTCAGGAATGTGCTATGGGCAGAATGTTTAGATGGACTGGCATTCATTCAGCAGGTCAGGTATCAGATTTCTCCCTGACTCTTATACTGAAATTTAACAAGTTCAACAGTGTACAATGACAGGCTGTGTAGTGAGAGCACAGCTCCTCTTTAAATCTGAATGTGAAAACGGCCCAGATGAAGAATTTTGAGTGACCCTTTTGCTGCAGAAAGTTGAATTTAACAACTTAAGTTCATGTAAACACACTGATTTCTGGTAGGGTGGGACAGGTGACGGTGAAAAAAGTCTGCAAAAACTCAGCTGGCATTACCTCTCCCAGATGTGAGTCTCCCAAGGGTCCTTTAGTTTCTGTGTTTGCAATGATCACCTTCACTCCCGGAAGGATCTACAACAGAAGACAGCAACAGCTCAAATAACCGTGCCAGCCTTAGAACAGTGAAAATGTTTGCAGCATAACATCACAGCTTTCAAGTGCATGTTGACATGAGGCTTTACCTTCCCAGACTCCATCAGAGGCAAGCTGTGTGGCGACCCTCTCTCTACCAGACGAACCCTGCAGGATGAGCAAATAAAAGGAGAAATGTGCAACCTCATTTCTGCATTTTCATTCCAGTTTTTCACAGTGTGACTAATCTTTAATTCAAGATTTAAAGATTTGAATCCTGTTGAATCACAAAACCTAAATAATCATAACAAAAAATAAAATCACAACATTTTTTTTGTAAAAAAATGACTAGTATTACAGAAACCAGACTGTGTAACTACATATTCTTTTTAGCTTCAAGGTATCTTGAAGATAAGGGTGTGGCGCCCCCTACCTGTCATGTCGTAGAGCTCTCATGTCCACATAAACAGTGGTGGGGTCCGGTCCAGCTGTGCCCTTTAAAAAAAAACAAGCAGAGGAACATGAGTCCATAATGTGACTGTTAAAACACTGATGTTAAGGCTGTTTGTTGGGGGGAGGTGGAAGCTGCTTATGAGACAAAGCAGGGGGGGGGGGCAGCCAGAAGCCAACAAGCAAGGCTACAGTAGTTAGGACCAAAGAAACTATGAGTACCTGCAGAGGTATATGCTATAATGCTTATATGAAAAAGTTGTGGACTACAAGAAATGATAAATGAGCTTATATAAATTATCCCCTAAAAATAGTTAATGAGTGTCAGTTGATTTTATGTAAAGACCATAGATCTGTCATACACCTGAATTATGACCGGAACATTTCTCAAGCTCTGATTCTTGTTGTCAGATATGGTTGTTTTTTTTGGCTTTTGGATTTGGCATCATAACTGCTGTAAGACTAGTCACAACACTTTATGTTTATCAACACTCCTCTGACAGGCTGTAGCCAGGGTAATAAGACAGCAGTGAGTCAGGTTTGTCGTCTGTGAGGTCAAAGCCAAACACAGAGCGAGTGGACTGCTTTATTAAGCTGAGGTTTCGGCATCAGAGTTCAGTCTTTGGCAAAAGAACAAAGCCAGTGGACTCGTTTAACGTGTCACTAATATAGAAAAATGTTTCATTAATGTACTGCTTCATCAATTACAACCACAGACGCATTACTGTGTTTTCTGTTCAGAAAGTCGTTTCATTTTAAAGTGTACAAATCTTCTAAAGGACTGTTTAAAAAGATGGACATGACAATTTCCCAAAAGTGAAGCCAAAATATTTGGCACTCCCTCTACTGGCTGGCTGCAGTATAGGTCATCCTGTAGTGCATGCTCCGCCCCCTCCATGTGAACAGATTGGATATGGATTCAAACTAAAAAAATCAAGGTACACACATCAAATACGTTTTTCTCCAACATGGTTTCTGTCATTTGTGTTAGTTTGTATCATACTGATTTATAAAACAAAGACAAAGAATGCTCGCACACTGCAGGGCTCCAGTATTCCAGATATGTATTTCACCATGTGATGTGTTTGTTTTTCGATTGTCATGTCAGTCATTATTCTGAGAATTTAAGCTTAAATTATGTATTAAATGCTATAAAAAGAGGTACAACACCTTGACTGACAGCTTGGTTGACAAATGCGTCTCCTGCAGCGATGTGTGCACCGGATCAGCAGAATAAATGAGGAACCGCGAGAGGAAATGTAAGAAGACAAGAGTCAATGAACTTTCTGTAACTTTGAGTTTTAGCCTAAACCCAACACAAGAACCTGTTCTTCTGCTAACTGTGCCACCTCAAGGATCTATATGGTTTTATCGGTAAGTTAAATGTGTTTTGTCTATCGGGAGGGGGGGGGGGGCATCATTAATACGACTCTTCCAGCCAAGCGTGGACACCGTCTGTAAGGCGAGACTTGTCCATCTTTATACACAGTCGATGTAAATGAGATACAATTGTGATTTTCAAAAAACATCCTGAATCTCCAGGTAAAACTGTAACTTTTCACTGATAAAAAGAGAAAAATATTTAAACAATAATTTGAGTTTAAAGTGTCAGATTTTTAAATGAAGACCACAGGGTTTCACAATGCTCTCTTCAAAATATGTGTAAATAAATAAATACAAAATATAAATCGGCTGAAATGAATCATGGCAGAGTGCATGATTCTAGCTCATGTTATATAGTAGTATAACATATTTCTTAAAGCCACAAAGCAATGGTTGGGAGCCAGACTGCACTAATATAAATAGCAGCTAAAGAAAAGCCCATCAGAGAAAAAGAAAACAGAATCAGTGAATTGTGATTAACCAAGTCCAAAAATCATGCAAAAATAACAAAAACACACACATAAGACACACAGATAAACATGTACACACGCACGCACGCACACGCACGCACGCACGCACGCACGCACGCACGCACGCACGCACGCACGCACGCACGCACGCACGCACGCACGCACGCACGCACAGATCCAGCAGCAGCCCAGTGAGCAAAGAAAAACTCTTCTCCTACATTTACCTGCTCAGCCAGTTTCCCTAACCTGTTGGGCTGACGGGACAGGGCAGGACAGATAAATAAAGATATATATGTATATTTAAATACACTGACCGTCACACATGCACACACGCACACACTCACACATAAACAGTCACCAGGGAAGAAGAAATAAAATAGAAAACATAGGGGACCCAGGAGAAAATTTAAAATTAAAAACAGACACACAGAGAGTTCATGGGTGGATTTTTTTTTTCAGAACCTTAAGAGCAAAAATATTTTTTTGTATTAGTAACCAACCAATCTGGGGTCGAGGGAAAAAGATTTACATTTCAATCGGGTCTACTGAGGTAAGGGGTACGAAAAAAACGACCTAATGTAGCCCTTTAATTTTTAAGTTCATGGAGATCATAGTGGTTGCGTGCATACACTCTATGCACCGTGCAGCAGTCACAGGATATAAACCTCACTCCACCCTCCCATTGGTCGAGATGAATTTTACGGAGAATATCCTGCTGCGTTCTCACATCAGCCCACCCGGACTTGCTGTGGAAAAATGACTAGGATCGAGCGAAAAATGTGTTTGTTTGCGTTCACACATATGGCTCCTCCTGGAAATATCAGGGGTTTTTCAGTAGTTTATTTGCAAGGGTGAAAGCCCTAGTTGACAGTTTCTTAACTTTAAAATCAGCCAGGCCTCTTGATTATGTTTTTTTCCATTTAGTACCACACATACATTATGTTGTCTCCAATGTGGCCTTCTTCATTCTTGTGCACTTTTTGTAGACATTGAGCCTCTAAATAAACGATATACCAAATACCAAGCGGTATTAAAGTGGTTCCAATCCTGTGTTTTTCAGTGGTGTTTATTTGATTTGTAAGATTGGACTCTGCAATGGACTCCCTTCATCCACCTCCCAACTCGCGGCCCTCCACCAGCAGCTTCTTACCTGCAAACATATTGCCACATTCACCCTGCAGCCGAAGGTGGTGCTGACGGCGCGTGGTGAAAGCCCCAAGTCCTTGAAGATCTTTGAGAAAGACTGAGTGAGTGCAATGCGGGGCCTCTCCTCGGCTACCACCATGCACGTACGCACGCAGGACAGGTTCACATTTCGCAACTGGAGAAGGGGAAAGGAAGAGGCAAATAAAAACTTCAAAGACATGTAAGTTCAAACTGTTTGAAACATGCTATAATTATTGTAAAAAAAATATCTAAGGTTCAATTTGATGAGTGAACCCAAAGTGACAAACTGACCCGCAGTGCTTCGGTCTGTGAGCCCAGGCCCTTGGTGCACATCTCCATGACCGAATATGAGCAGAAGGTGACTCGCACTTTGTACTGACTGACTGCCCCGAGCCACAGAGATGCATTGCTCTCCAGCTCCAGAGGGGGAACCAGGATCGACTGGTGGCCCGAGTACACACTGAAACCAGACATGCAAACAGAGAGGCTCAGACTGAAGACAGTGTAAAGCAATGCATATTATCAATGTTCCATCCCAGGCTCCGATGCTTTTATCAAAGATTTTACTTTCATTACCTGCACAGGCACCAGAGAGCGAAGCCCAGGCCGCAGTAAGGGTCCAGACAGATTGCGATCTGCCTGGATGGGTACAGCTCACACTGCAGTTTGATGGAGCGACACAAGGCACTGGTGGCAGCGTGAGACATCTAGAGGCGATTATAAGACAGACAGAGGCTCAAATCATAAAACATTTCATTTACCAGATTCTGTTTTATTTTAGTTAAGATGTAGTTACAGAAAACATCTTGTTGAAAATATTTGTAACATCCAACATACTTTGACCCCTGCTAAGATGCCTGTTGTGGACACACTGAAGTCCAGGTAAGCTAACATCTCTGGGGTCGGGGGCTTGTACATCTGGGGGCTTTTCTTCCTAGGTAGATCATCTGGAAGATGAACAGAGGTAGAGGAGAAGAAGATCTTAAAAAAGCTGCTCTTTGGTGGCAACAGATGTTGACTTTGTGTATAAAACTGACCTGTGTCCAGCACCATGGGCCAGCTCTTGATATCCACAGCAGCAGCTGCCTCTTTGGACTTAAGCAGCTTCATTATTGCTTGAGTGGTCAGGATACACACCGACTTACTGACCTGTAACACACCCACATCACAGTATTACTACATATATGTTACTTTTAATTCTTCACCTTATCTGATGTTTGCAAGAAAGACACATTCACTGGATTTGATAAGTGTGATAACAGTGATAAGAGAGCGCTTAAGCTAGCACTTTGATGCTGTTCAGCTGACTCTGTTACCTCTACGATCATCTTGACAGTGGGCAGGGTGGTTGCCAGATTCTGGGGGTGTGGAGGTCTTACAGTGACAGGCACGCATCCAGCATACAGGCAGCCATAGAAGGTTGCAATCAGGTCAATTCCTGCACATGAAAGACAGAAAAACGTCAAATCTGAGGGCAGGGGAAGTCAGGATAAAGCATTGATACTAATGAACAAGACTGGAAAAAAAAAAGTAGTACAGTGGCGGTATCATGTCTTACCTGGTGGGTAGACAAGTGCTACATGGTCTCCAGTGTTGAGGCGTCCCATCAGTGCTGCAGCCACTCGTTCCGCACGCTTGTGCAGCTGCAGGCAGGATGCAGTGCTCGCCACCGTGCCCTGAGGAGCAAAAGGTATGTATACAACTTACATTCAACTAGATGGCTATGTTTTAGACGATCAAGGACAATAGCAAGACTTAAAACTCCTTAATATGAATCTCCATGTACAGATCTCGATAGAAACAGCTTTCTCCTGCTTTATTAGCTCTTTGTAAGTAATGTTGCAATCAAATACTTTGTAGGTATTCCTTCATTTATATTATTCATTGCCAGAGTAAAAATCTATACCTTAGCATTGAGAACAAGGAACAGAGGATGATCTGGAGTGGCCTGAGCTCTCCATTGCAGCACATCTTGTATATACAGGAACTAAAGCAGAGTGAGAAACACAAGTTTCACTACAGAGAAATGAGAGTAACACAGCAAACCAAAACGGAGACAATGATAAATCAATACACAAACAAGGAGGAACATGGTGGCACAGGGTGGGTGTTAGAACTGCCGGAGTGATGGATGCGATTGGATTTAGATTATGCATGACTGAAAAGAATAATGGGTGTAAAACAGGTACAATCAAAATAACACAACATGCAACTCTAATTTGTCACAGAGGGGAGTCAGAACATTGTATTTTCCATAAGGTGTCTGTAGTTCCAGTTCCACCACCTCATGTACGGATCCTTCATGTGTCTGTGGATATGTGGAGGTGATAAGTGGGTAAAATGAGGACGCTTTTCTACTATACATACCTGTTCATTGTCCTCCAGCTGTGCCACATCTCTCCCACAGGCCTGTGCTATCCTCTTCCCTGCCACCAGGTTTCCCACTATCATAGAAGCAGGACTGACCTCTGTCCCGCAAAATAACATTCAAAGTTAACATTCAAATCAATAGAAGATTAAACAGAAATTGTAAAAATAAATAATATACTTAAATGTGTCTTAATGCTCTAACTGTCTGATCCCTGTGGGGGATATTTGCATGTGTACCTGGCTGTTTCTGTCTTGGCTTGGGCAGGTTGGTGACACAGGTGTGAGGGCACATGAGGACATTGCAGGGGTGCAAGGCTCCCTCCAAGAAGCGCTGTTTGGTCTCAGATATATGGATGCCACCCAGGGGAGCCTTCGGAAGCGTGTTGGCAGGCACCAGAGCCAGGCAGTACACTCCCACCTGGTGGATGCTGTCTATAGCCTGCAAACAGACAGGACAGAAAACATTTAAAGAGAACTGTCACAATTGAAAACATCAAAACAAGCCTGACCTTTGTGTTATGTGTAAGAATTAGCAACCAATTAGATGTTTTTTTTTTTTTTTTATAAAATGGTAAGATGTGACAAAGACAGAGCACAGTGAGCACCTGAAGGACGCGGCTCATCCACTGGAAGCTGTCCTCCTCTGAGGCGTCCGGTCTCTGCTCGGCCACAACAACGATCCTCTCGTCATGCAGCACAGACACAGAAAACACAGCTATCCTGGAACACAAAAGATTTTAAAAAGTATTGTTAAAGCTGAAATAACCTCAATGTATCAAACTCTTGTTTGCTACAAACAAGTTGCTTGAGTCCTAAGTCAGAAGAGTTAGAAAACATCACACAAGTGAAGGATAATAGATAAAATAAGAAATAAATTTTACCTCCCCCTGTACACAAACTTCATTGGCTCCACTGCCAGTGCCGTGGCAACCACGTCATCAGCATTGTGCCTCCGCCCACTGACCACCATCAGCCCGTCCATCTTCCCCACAACAAACACAAGGCTGTCCTGTTGGAAAACACAATGCACAAACTGTTCAGTGGGCAGATCTTTGTATTCACTTGATCTAAAAGTTTAGTGTGCATTCATACAGCTGAGACATGAAGTAACTCTGCGTGTTAAAAATGAAGACCTCATAGTGTTTAACTGTTGGCTTAGTCATTCTTAGATCCTTGAGCTCTAAGATCCTCAGAGAAAATCTGCTTTCAGCTCAGGAAGAAAAATCTTCACTTTTGGCTTTTCTTCATCATCTTCGTCATCATCTGTCCCTGGATTTATTAGCTTGTGACACTTTTCTGGCTAGCTGTATACATAATAATTCTGTCCTTCACAGATTTAAAGTGTGAGTGACAGTTGTTTTTCTAAAATTGGGTTTGGGTTGATTTTAAATAAACAGACCTCCCTGTGAACAGTTTTTATTCAACTACAGAAAAGCACAGGAGAAATCATCTCAGAGTGTTTGAATACTTGAATTGCTCGCTGCTTCAATGAAAGTCAATTTCTCTATTTACTACAAAAACCAGAAAACCAGAATATTTCTGCTTGGCTTAATACAAGCCAAATGCTATTTTTTGTGATTTGAGTGAACTAACCCTTTACATGGGAGGGGGGCAGGTTGAAAATACAAACAATTTACGGTACTGCATAACACAAATTGATGTTTTATGACAAATAAATGCCATTTCAGTCACATGTGTACTACAGCATATGACAACTAGAAAGGTCAATGAAAATTCATATATCTACAACTATCTTAATAATGTCAGACAGATTTCACAGAAAAGGAAGGTTAGAAAACATCACTTTAAAAGCTTGGAACTTACCGGTCCTACAAAGCCAAGCAGTGAAGTCCTTGTAAACGGTCTGTCACTGATAGGAAGTCCAGAGGATAATACTGGGATAGTCTGCAACAAGACACACACACACTTAAAAACACACATTAATAAATAAAGTACAAAAACAAAAATGAGTAAATGAGACACTCACCTCAAAGACATTCTTGGTCATACCCGGGAGGCCGTAGTAAGCTACGCCTGTGCTACCTGAACTCACACAGATCTCTCCAACCTCGTCTGTCTGACAGATATAAGGAGTCCCCTCCACCCGCACCACACACACCAAAGCTAGAGACACACAGTGAACATGGAACGAAGGAGTTTTACAATATTATTTAAAGTAGATGTCTAAGTTGCTTTATGTGTTTCTGTTGGGATAACAACATTTGCTTTACTCCCATGAAAAGTGCCAAAAGTTCAATGAGTAAGTGAAAACATTTGAGGATCTTTTCAGGAACATCCCTCAAAATTTGATGTGAGCAAATCAATTCTCTGGAAACCCACGGCAGTTTCGAGTGAAAACTAAAAAACAGGAAAATGTTAAAAAAAGTGGAAGCGTACTGTACCTCCAGGCATGACTTGTCCCACATCCTGCACTGTCAGGACAGAGAGTTTCTCCTCCGTGTCCACACGTATCACACTGTGGCTCAGCCCTCCCATAGAGAGCACCGCCTTCCCAGGAGGAGGAACTCCCATTTCTGGAGGCCTGAAGACATTTTACGGTTACACTTATTATCACTGAACACCAGAACACAATAAAACACAAAATGTAAAACGATCAGTTTTTACAGCAGACATATACATCCTCATGTGAAGTTCATGTGAATCTGTGAGAATTCAGACTTTAAACAATGATGATCTAAATCAAATTTTTAAAAACAGAACCAGTTTGCCTTTTGAAACATTGTTTGTGTCACTAAGTTTTCATACCATACCAAGCTTTGTGATAACCATAAAGCTCTACATCATCTCTGTGTTACTGAATCACAAATATAACTCCTCCACCTGCAGGATCCCGCTCATGTTGCAAACCATGTGTGTTTTGATCTAATAAAGGCTCAGTTACATCTGCTCACCTGCGGATGGCGACAGTCATGGCTTCTGAGGAGCTGGCACATGGGCAGATCACCTCAGGTCGCAGCCCACGTGCCTGAAACACGTTGAGGAAGGCGTCGCAGGAGGATATTGACCCTGTGTTAATACACAAACACACAGAGTCTCATATCACCGACAAACAAAGCCAGCCAAACAGATATACAAGCAAACACAAACAAAACAAATCAATGGGTATCCCCACGGGCCTCAGGTTGTGTGTTAAAGAATTTTATTAAACAGGAATCTGCTGGTGGACTCACATGGGTTTGCTCCGTCGGCTACGATGAGCATGCGCAGGGAGCTCAGGCTGATGTCTCTCTGGTCTCTCTGGGCCAGCAGGGACCAATGCATGTCCCTCGACTTCACCACAGCAACCCGCGCTGTGTGGGGGACACAAAGACAAAGAGACATGCTCACAATAGATTCATTCAATCAACACCTGTCATCTAGTCTGACAGTCAATCACAGATCCCCAAATCTGACAGCAAAGAGCAGCATGGTTTGACTCAGCTGCCAACAGGTGACTCAGATCACCGCTCAGATCTGAGACGGAGGACATGAGTTTGATTCAATGCAGCAAGCCAGCTGTCCTCGACCTGCTCAGGGCTAATACAGAGAACTAGAAATCAATGAGTCAAACAAACTATTGCTTTAATCCATCAAGCCTTGTCAAATCTGCTGCAAAAATCAAAGCTCTTAAAAGAAGCAGAGTCTCTCCAGGGTTCTGGCACAGTTACTGACAATAAAATATAATTGCACAATGTTGGGTTATTTATCATTCCACCATCAAGCAAACTGTTCGGTATGTGTGCTACTTTGTGAGTTACATAATTATCGATACTAAGTTGCAACAAAAACTGGTTCAGTACAAAATGTAGATAACATCACGTTGCATGATCCTTCTCTTAATCTCTTATAACAGGAATGAGATGAAGCAAGCAGATTAATGATAGAAAGAAAGTCAAGGACGACCAACCTTTGTATGTGTGAACCTTCTGTATCCAAGACAGGGGGTTGACTTTCATCAGGGAGTAAGGAATGCTGATCACGTGCATCCGATTCATAACGCTCTGCCATGAGCAGAGACAAGCGTCAGAGAAACACCAAAAAGTCGTGCCATTGAGTGTTAAAGCCACTGTGAACAAGCTGCGAGGCATGACAAGATTCAATCACCTGTAGCTAAGAGTTTGTTTAAAGCACGTTAGCTCTACTGCTGTGTCATTTAAGGAATTTAATACATGCTACAGCAGGTCATATATGTGCAGTGAGTAAACTCTGTGACATGTTTAACACTAGCTGAGTTTGAATAAGTAGGGGGGAAATGCATATTTTTACAGGTTTCAAACTCTTGAGTTATCATAAGAGGTTTCTGCCCACAAGGACTTCATTAGTCTGAATGTTTAAATACAGATAGGGTCCTCAGAGGAAACACGTTGGCCAGAAAAATCTGACATTTTATCGGCAAACTGAGCATAGAACTCTTCAATATTCGATGTTTTAGCTTGAAAAATGTTTAAAGTCCACTCACAGTGAGAACACCATGCCATAAACCTGCTTCTCTCTTGAAGTCCAAGACGTTGGTTATGGTCTCAGCTGCAAATCAAACAAGAGATTATGCAAAAATCAGGGTTTCTGTAAGGCTTTGAGCCATTAATTCTGACATTCTTCACAAGAAAAATCACATATCATCCCATTATTTCCAACACAATACAAGCCTTGTAATGAGCAAATCCTATTCAGAATCAGACTGATTGAAACTCTGTTTTAGATAAAGACCTGGAGAGCCTGGTGGGGCTGCCAGTAAGGTTTTATTTAGAGTAAGAAACTGGGACAGTGGAGTAGAGGAGGTGCCATATTTTTTCTTTTAAGTAGACCTGACCCAGGTCTGACGCAGAGAAACACAACCAGCTGAGCAGCTGCATTTATCATTCTTGACTGTAATTACACTCTGGGAATGAGAGCATCGGTATGGGGAAGTTCTGCCTCGTGCATTATTACAAAAAATAATGAATCTGCTCTGCACAATCTGCTCTGCAGAATCAATAAGAAAAAATATCCATTACATACATTTTTGATTTTATTAAAGCTTGCTTTAGTGCTCCTCCAGACTCCATTTCTTCTTTTTCTCTTCAGCAGAAATCTTTGCTTCTCTTATGTTGGAAAATAATAAAAAGATGGAGGAAACACAGAGCTGAATAAAGTACGAGTAAACAACAGAGCATCCTCCTCACCTTCAGTGTAGCCACAGGCCTGTGTGAGAGCATGACAGTGATCCAGCATGGCTGAATGAGACACTGTGATCCCCATGGTGCTTCCTTCCTTGCTGGTTTTATACTGCAAGTAAAAAACAACAACAGAGAGAAACATTTGAACAATTACACTCCAAAATAATAATGTACAGACATTAAAAAAGCATAGTAAGAATTAGTAGCTTAAAATTATGAAATATTCCATTCCAAACATGAATGAAAATGTCATAAACTTCTCATTGTTTTTGGCAACATCAAAGAGTTCACACTCACCTCTATGTAGGCAATGTCATTACTGGCTTCCCGTATTGGAGGATACCAGTCTTTTGGAGGCTTCACGACATGTTTTCCATCTGTCACAAACCACAGCAACCGTGGCCAGCCTGCAGAGTAGAGACACAAAGTCGGTTCAGTCGTAATCAAATTATACACAAAGACAGTCAATTCAAAATACCAAACAGGCTGTACCTTTGAAAGTTGCTACCTCCCCTGTTTGTGCTTTAGGCAAGCCTTTCTGACAAGCGTCAGTGGTCAGCGCCAACGTGACACCACAGCTGCCCAACAGAAAGCCAATCTGTTGACTTCCTGCATCCTGAGAGACAAAAGAGGATGAAAAATGTGTAAACTTTGGAAAACTGTACCTGTCAAACAACCAACTATTAAAAAAAAAAAAAGACAAAAGAAAGTCCAGAAGATAAAAGCAGGAATTGTAGTGGGGAGAGAAAGAAGGGCGATGACAGAAGAAGAAGGAGAATCCTCAGATCATCATACATAAAAGTAGCAGCAGGTGCGAAAGCAGAGTGAGGGCCAATCATTATTAAAAACCCCACTGCTGAGCATCAAAGCCTATGCTCTGACAAACACTCACTCATATGTGATTGGCTGTGCAGATACATTTAAAACTAGACTCGTGCTGATCAAAACATACTGAAGAGAAATAAATATTTAGTGGGATTAAAGAAAGAAAGACAAAGAAAGGGGGTGGGGGGGGAGTTGGAGGAAAAGAGAGTGTTGGCAGAATGACAACAGCTGGCCTGGGATCTAATATTTTGACTGGAGTTACAGATCATTTCACCTCGCTCAAATCTCATTTGTTACAGCACAGCATCTGCACACAGCGTGCTCATGAGAGACAATCAAGAACAGGGATTAATACACTGTCTGTGTAACTAATGTGGATGAACTTGGTTCAGTTTGAGCCAATGAATGTGTTAGAAACCAAAATACTTTATAACACACAGTGATTTATTCTGGGACTGGAATAGATCATAAATAAACCAACATTGAAAAAACTGTGCACATGTTGTCTCATCTCCAGTAATTTATGCATAAAATGTCCAGCAGGGGTCACTATTGGTCCACAATAGCCTTCCAAGAGACAGGAGTCTCTTGTGTGTGTGTCCGTGTGTGTGTGTGTTTGAGGGTTTGTGGGTGTCTCAAGGTACAGAGTTATTCACATTGCATAAGATGCAACCAGAAAACTCACGTCTGTCTAGGATATAAACCGATTTTTGACGTGTTTCTGCAATGGATAACTGCATGAAGTTACATGCTCAGTGTTGTATGATGCTTGTTAATGTACATGTGGACTTATCCCTTTAAATCCTCCCAGTGGAAAATTCCCAGGAGATTGTTTTTGCCTTTACCTTTCGTGTCAGTGGCACTTCAATAGGCACAGGTACCAGCTCTGCCAGGAGACAGCCGTAGAACGCCACCATGAACATCACCGGGTCATTGTTGGGGAAAACAAGTGCAACCTGCAGGTGTATCACACAGGATATGTCATAGTTAACATATATGGTTCTGGGTAAGGGCACAATAATGGTTGTGCAGAAAGAATAGTGAGTAAGTAAACATCTACTTCCAATCACAGGTAAAAAGGTGTTCACTTAGTAAAGGTGTTTGAGACAATGAAGCTTTGTCTACTCTTGCACAAGCTGAATATCCTTTAAGACGTTCCAGCTGATAATGCATCAAGAAATGTAACATCTGACCTCTCTAATTTCATCTCATGACTTACTCTGTCTCCAGGCATGAGCAAAGGCTCATTCCTGGTGCTCAGCTTGTTCAGGAGAGTGTAGGCCAGTTTCTGACTGCGTGTCCATAGTTTACCTGAGGTGATAATAAGAGAGTCAAATAAAAACCATAGTCCATTATTTGTCAAAAGAAGACAAGAGAAGATAGTGTTTTAAGTCATTGTGAGTAATGTATGGACTTGGTTGAACCATACCGTAGGTGAGTGTGTAGACAGGCTTTCCAGAATTGTCCAGTCCTGTCAGACATGGGCTCTTGGGCTGAGTGGTGCCCCACCGTTGTAAGGCTGCTGGTAAGGAGGGGGGCCACTTGTTTACCACCCCGAGAGGCTCTCCTTCTAGGGCACTCATTTGCTGGCCTTCTGGCTTTGGCTGGTTGGGATCTGGATGCTGGACTAGATGCACGAGCAAGGAAAAGGATATCAGTTTTTATGGTTGTATGTTGAGCAACAAAACAAACTATGTCCAAGTGTAAATGTTTTATTTTCAGTGAATTGCAATTTTATGTTTTAAATCATACAGCTTTCTTTAAGTAAGGCAGGGAAATAAAGTGATAAAAAAGAGATGTGTGTGATAATACAAAACAAAGGTTCTTAAGTGCTTATAAGGAGTGAGTTTAGACAATAACTCCAGAAACTGAACTGGAAACTGGGAACTGCACCTGCTAAAAAGTCCATGTTTTTTTCTTCACCCTTGAACTTCCTCCAAGCGGCCTATTTTGATCTGACTTTCATCTTTCATCTGTCCATCACTATTTTCCCATCACACTCTCCTGAACTCTCTGGCTAAGTGGAATTCAGAACTGTTTACCTGAACTGGCAGATGACCCGCCAAATAAAGATCCAATCCATTCCAACCTGCTGTCATTTTCAGCTGTGTGTGTTTTTCTGCTCACACTGAGGCTTGCCATGTCACAGATTATGTGCCAAAATCAGGACGGCTTTACAATGACCTGCTCATGCATAACTATTCCTGCAGCTTGCTCATTTTCACAGTGTTTATTCAGCCTGGCAGAGCACCCACCCAAAACCCGCAGTGGACTGGTAGGAATGGGGGGGGGGGGATGGTTACATAGGGCTGGTCCACTGTGTGCGAGTGTCAGAGCGTATTTCTGTACCCAGTATTTCCGAAACCGCTTCCCTAGCACACCTGGTGGTCTCTGCTCCACCAAGAGACAAAATAACAACCACTGATCTAAAAGAGTTCCTCGACTGTTTATTTGTCAGGTGTGGTAAGTGTGAGACATTTTTATCTCAGTTGCAACAAGAATATGCAAATAAATCCACAGACAACTGCAAAAAAAAAAAAAGAAGAAAAAATCTCAAAGCGGATGTGGCTGTCACACTCAAAAGATTTGATCCTTTACTGCCGGAGTCAACGATCAGTATTCTGATCATGCCACAGAATGAGGGATGCTTTTTTTCATGATTTATTGATTTAAAAGAGGAATTATCATTCCCTCCAGGCTAGCTTACCTCCCAAAAGCTCCTCAAAGTCGTCGACGAAGAATTCTCGCAACGGCGGTCGCTTGGGTCTCTTGAGAGTGTTGAGCAGCTGCTGGATTTTGGAGGAGACGCGGCTGTTGACTGGAACACCTACACAATGAGATCGGAGGGGATGAAAAGAAGACGGCACGGGGAAATAAACATGGCAAGGCAAGAATATGGAGAAAAACAGTCATGGCAAAGGGAGAATATGTGAGTTGAAAGAGATGTGAAGGCAGAGTTTGGGGGTGCATACAGTAGAGAAAGACAAATGCATAAAGTTTTGATTTTGAGGTTTATAACGTAAAAAGAAGGGGATGGATGAGGAGAAGGAGATAAGAAATGAGGAAAGGTCAATGTCTAGCTTTACTGAGACAGAGTACAACCAGCTGACACTCACATCATAGCTGGACATGACAAACAGTAGACCTCAAGGTCCTCTCCAGTCACCCGCAGGTCAAAGGGTTACAGTCTTTCCATCAAGAAACTGTCTTTTGAATACCACACAGGTGCAATAAACCAGGAAATAAGAAACCTTTTAGCCTGCTGCCAGGCAACAAAGAGGTCCTCTCTGCATAAAGTGATTCAAGGGATGTCTGAGAAGGTCTCTGCTTCAAACAGGATCTACAGAATTTACAACTATGGAGTCTAAGATCAACTCTTGCCACGTCAAGACAAGTCAAAATATATGAAAAATCATTAATGAGTCCGTCACAATCACAGAGATTTGGACCTTTGTAAAGCGGAGAGAATGAGAAAAAGACAGCCAAACAACTGACTAAGGATGAAAGAATGAAATGTCCAGTTAGCTTTCAGACATGGGTCCGTGTAAACTATAATCATCACCGGACATGTTTTCCTCCATATGAAATCTGCTTAGTTTGGGAGAGGTGGTCTGCGTCAGACATTCCAGACAGCCACAGGAGACGAAGGCCACAGCTGCACACAGCTCGCCTGATCTATCTTACTATAATAAGCCTGGCTCAGACAGACTCTGCCTCCTCTTGTAGGGACAGATGTACTGGGAGTAGACATGTGGGGGTCAGCGCTGCACCTGATGGGCCAATTAGAAAGCCCCAGACACACAGGACAACATCTGAGGGCCTTGAACCCAACGCACTGAACGGTTACATCACAGACTGCCTGTGATGATGACTGTATCTTACATTTTTAGGATTTTCAAAATGTAGGTCGTCGTAGTGTTGTGTGTTGTTAAAATATGAATTAACCAACAAACTTACAGAAGACAACAACAAAGGTGGACATAAAGAAAAATGCTTCATCGCCTTATTTGACTTTTCTTTTCTCTTGAGAAACCCTATCAAATGACAAAAACCAACAATGTGTTACCCACTTATATATGGTTTTTTTTTAACATATCGGCAAAGTCTACGTTTACAGGCCTTAAACTCAATTTGTTCGACAAAAGAAAGCACCAGGAGGACAGTACATTTTGGATTAACTCTAAAGTTGAACACAATACCCAAGTTTGTCTCATTTGACCCAAAACAGAAGAGTGGCTCATTGTTATGTTTAAAAAAATCAGAGATTTTTGGGGCTTTTGCCTTTCTTAGGACAGCTTGAGAGGGAAATTGGGGGGTAGAGGTGAAGGTATTATCCACCAAACAGCATCAGGATTGGGAGTCTAAACAGTGACCAGTGCCCACTGGTGCATGGGGAATCTGCACGAGGCACCTGCCTAAACAGGCACTCCCTTTAATCATATTTCAACAATGATGGAGGTATGCTTTATCAGACTATATTTGGGTTTACATATAACTTATTAGTAGAAGTCTATATTGTTGGTTTTAATCTTTAATAAGATTTGCCCATTATGCACCACAGTATGTGCTTAGTCAAGAAAACAACACATACAGCATCAGTATTGGCGATATAACCCAAGTTACCATGTTGCGTGATATTTATTCCAAACTAAGAGATTTTTATTACAATGACCACAGTGCTTGACAGCTGAACACACGGTGTGGCTACAGGCCACAATCCCAATCCAATTTTATGCATTTGTCTTTCTCTACTGTTTAATACAAGTTTGTGTCACAGAATTGATGAGACATAAACTGACAAGTCTTGGTGTCTCAGTGTGAGGACAGAAACTAGAGTGTCAACATGCTTATAATTCACAACCCAAAACCAAAAGTTACACTTTTCACAGCCAAGAGCTTTTTACAGACTGCTCCACACAACCATACTGGAGAGAGCGTTCACATTGCTTTGAGTTAGTACAGATGCTATAGCCTCAGCAACACACTCTGATATACAAACACAAACACATAAATATAATGACTAAATTCACTGTAGCTTTGCTTCTTTTTTTTTAAGCAAAGGCAGAAACACACACAAGCACAAATGTACACGCAACAGAGTGCAGTGCACATGTAGCAGACGGGCACAGAGTGTGAGGAACAGTTATAAATACCATCCATTAAATTGAGGGATCCATCACCTCTCCCCTCACAGCCTAGAGGAGAGACACATGTCAATGTAAGAGCACTGCTAACTTTGTATGAACGTGTGATAGATAAGTCTACCAGCAGCTAGACATATGAGAGAAAAGGTGTAAGAACACACTGTTGTTGTTGTTGTTGTCGTACCGTGACAACAATTCTCGGAGTTTTGTGCTGTTTTTGTTATTTTAGTCATTTTTTAAATTTGTCACATGGTAAAAATTTCATCAGGAGTGTCACCAAGAAAACAACACATAAAAATAATAATATATACATATTTTGTTTTTCCAAAGAAATATCCATAGATGTAACACATCCATTTCCTCTTTGTGTGTCAGCCAGGTGGGCTGGTGTAGTATTGATAAGCAGACAATTAACACCATCTTCATGACAAAGGGTGGATGACAGGAGGGGTAAAGCTGTGGTGAAGCTGTGTTCTAGTTTCACGCTGCTAGCTTATTAACGTATTGGACACTAATTCAAAGCAGCATATCAGCTCTGATGTTAAATGAATGAAGATGGAGCGGTGACAGGAACACACGGGCGCTGCTTCACAGAATGGTTGACCCAATTGTCATGTATAGCAATTCAAGAAAACCACCTCGTTGTATAAACACTGTATCACCAACTCTTTCGACCCTTTTGAGTATTTCCTGAGATTAGATCATCTGTAATGATGACCTTTAGAAACATAAACAGCTAAATTGAGATTATATACACTGCAATGACTCCTTACTTTACATCTGATCTCACAGGTTATCCATTGCTACATTGCACGGCATTTAATTCCCGATACTGGCTGCAAAATAGACAGTGCCATTTGAATGATGAACGATGTTTGGGGGCTGTTCACTTTATGCACTGATTCACAAACAACATGAAAAGAAACTAGCACAAGAATCACCTGTAAAAATTTGTTCCTGTTTTTTTTTTACTCAAAAAGGAGCAACATTCCTTTTTTTATCATTATAGGTAATTTTCATTAGTGTCAATGACATTTTAAGCATTAAGATAGACACATCTTATCTTGGGGGTGGTTTGGAGAGGTGCAGTTTTGTTACCATGGCAACACAGTTGGGTCAGTCAGCAGCTTTTGCCAGTATGAGGCAGACTAACTAAGAAGAAGACAGAGGGACGGACAGCAGGGGAGGAAGGGAAAGGGAGGTGACTGGGTTGATGTGTGTGTGTGTTTGTGTGTGAGAGATTGAGCAGGAAACTCACCATCTGCAGTCTCCATGACGCTGGTGTGGTGGTTGTGGCCACGGGAAACGCCTCGCACTGAGGCTACCTGGGGTCGCTCAGCATGAAGTGAGGAGCGCTCCGACAGCCCCGTCACATCAGGGGGTGCTGAGTGGTTATCTGTGATGAGTGGGGTGTCGGTGGGGGTTACAAGGTCAATTGCCAGGCCTTTTCTTGTTGCCATTTTTAATAAATGAAAATCTTGAGAAACAACTGATCTGAAGGCTTTTTTTGACACCTACACGATGAGTTTTTACCTGGACAAGAGTATATTTTAACAAGAATTTTACCTTTTACCTAATTTTCCATTACCTTAATGTCTCCTCAGATACAGAATCATTTCATTGAGTAAGCCATAGAACACAATGCCTGTATAATACGAATAACAGGCCGGTGTAAGAACGTTGTAAAAGCCTTTTTGAACTCTAAAAAGGACGCCTTGGGATCAAGTCTCACAAACCTTTGAACCAAAGCAGCAGGCCGAAACACCAGGTCATATTTAAAGGGAGATACAGTTGTAATAATCATTTATGGTAACCATGATAGTTTAATTTATATATTTAGCTGTAAATTGTTTTTTTTATAGAAAACTGCAACATAAAAGTGTGAGGGCGCTACACCCACTGGCCACTTAATTAAGAATACCAATCCTTATGTTCAGTCATCGCATGGAAGTCTATGTCATGTTATGTCTGAGGGGGTTTGTTCCCTGTTCTGTTTGTCTTTTTTTCCAGCACTGAAAATGTTTGTTATAGGAAACTGCAGAAAAACCTGAGTGCCAATGTTCCCCTCATAAGCTATTATTAACATATTAGGTTAACGGCAAAACATGTGATTCTTTGTTGATGTTTGTTATTACAGTCTATATAAGCATAAAATGTTGCTCGTGTGTGATTGCCTTCCCGTCCTTGTCTACTGCTGAAGTGAATGACAGGCGGAATCAAAGATTGAGAGGCCAAGCCACAGGATAATATGGGAGATATATTTACAGCTCCATTCAGAGCCAGTAACTGTCGCTACTTTATGACAGCAACCTTGAGGGGAGACAAGCTGGTCAGAAATCAGACAGCTCCATCCTAATAGGATATCGTTCTGCCAGCAACACATACAGACACACATGAGGGGAGACACAGATATACGAGCAAGACACTGTCTCACTGTGCTGCTGTGGAGGGATGGATGGAGATAAATCCGCTGAATCTCATTAACTAGCTTTTGACACTCAGTGGCAACGTGGAACGGGGAGTTTTGACGTGGAAGTGGCTGTGAACCCTTTCACATGACTGAATGACTTCAAGATGACTGAGACAGCTAATTAAAGAGATGTTTATTCAAACTCTGTCGCTTGTTCCCTTTGTCTTGTTTCATCAAGCGCTTTTGTGTTGTTGAGGGAGATAAGGCATCGGCTGTAGCAGATGTGTGAGACATGCTGACTGTCTGCGATCGATGTGACAGTCGTAGAAATCAGTCTGAGCAACACAACACGGATTCAAATGTCACCCTTTCGACATGATTGGCTGACAGTAGAACACACAAAGCTTCTGCTGATGTCTGCACATTTAAAACAGTGCAGGGCTATGATTCACTTCTACAGATAGATGAAGCAATTCAAAAACATACAGGACAGTCCTACAGGCCTGTCAAATATACAATAATACTGTATGTGAATTCATTTTTCCATCAGGGTTACCCCAATGAAACTCATGAGATTTTTTTGCCCCAGCGCAACAGAATACAGGGAATGTTATATGCAGGGAATCATTTCAAGCATCCAACTTGTTTACCTTATTCTAGTTCACCATGTCCAACTTTAGCTGAAAACCAACCTACATACTTTTCGCACTTCCCAGATTAGCTTTGGGGTGCAAAAATGTTTAATAAGCATTGAGCAAAACATATTCCCCTCTAAACTAACTGGATGAGAGTGTCTATGAAAAAGGGATATGGATCATATAGATTTGCTTACTGAGATGTGATGAAATGAGAGACTGCATGTGTGTCACTGACCTAGCTGGGTGTGTGCCATAAGGTCCGCCAATGCGGTAGCTGCGGCGTTGGCGTTGAGGGCTGCGTGGGCAGTGGTGTTGGTGGTGGTGGTGACAGATCTCCCTCCCGGGTGGGATGAGGTGGATGACGCGGAGGATGAGGTGGACGAACCCTGGATGACACGGTTAAACCAGTGCTCAACGGCCGGGTGGCCATGGCCCTGGTAGGGCGTGGAGGTGGCCAGACGTCCCTGCCGGCGCAGCGAGCCCTCGTCTTCTGACGCTGAGGAGGTGTCTGTGTTTGACAGGTCAAGAAGGGGCAGCGTCACAATCTCGGACAAAGACATGGGAAGGACTATAAAGTCATCAAGAAAATGACCGGGATTTAGTGTATATGCAGACGATGTATTGTTCTATTTATATATACTGTTTAGAGTACATATAAGATAGAGGGATGACTAGATGATTTCAATGGAAATGGAAAGGTCTTTTGACTTTGCTGGTTGTGTATATATATTTTATATTGATTGCCTATAAAAGAAGCCACATATCACACAGGCATAAACATCCCACGTACAACTGAAGTGATCTGTCTTTGAATGATAAAGTGTGAAATACTTAGACAGCAGACAACAGAGTGCCTCTATAGAGGACATAATAACGTTTTGATTTTGAAACACTAAAACTAGACTGTGAGCTTAATCAAAAGAACACAACAAGAGAGGCAGCTTTAAAGAGAAATGTCTATGGTATAAACTATAAAGTCTTTTAATACAACGGGTACTGCTTGAAAGTTAGGCAGCTATGAGAAATAGTGCTTGAGGTGGGTTGATTTCAGTTTCTTCTTAGCGTTTCAGAACATTCCCATATCGTCTAATAACATAAAATCTGCTTGAAGGTGCTTCATCAGTTAAGAAACACTAAAATACAAACATATATATCATACTTGAAGAAAAGAAACTCACAAATGACACGACGACTTAATAGTGCTCTAAAAATAAAACATTGGTAAGTGTAGTGTATGCTTCTATTATTTTGGCGTGGACTCAAATCCAGTCACTAATGATACCGTCTCTCCCTTGAGGTATCTGTGAGCAGTTGGTCTGAGCAAAAATAGACCAAAAGGGAACGACTTCAAAGGAAGGATCGTTCGAAATGAACACATTCCACTTCATCTACCATGCTCCCAGAAATATCTGGTTTTTGGATTGAATCGCTGAAATAACACACGAGCTGAGATCGGTTGTCTGCAGAGAAATGAGTGCAATAAAAGGGCTAAGCAAAGCAGGCGTAGGCATCAACCACTTCCAGAAAATGACAAACTAAAGTTATAAACGACGACAGTTTTCAAAATGAACAACAAAGGTCACACTTGACCCAATTATTCACCATTGATAAAGCAAACGGCAGCACATATTCTGCAGCACTCAACCATGAAATCACAAAAATTGTTGCTCTGTCAAAAATTATTGAAATAAAATCCAGTAAACTTACTAAACACAACGAAAAAAAAAAGAAAAACAAAGGCCACATACGATGGAAAATCTATTCTCAGTGTCAGAGACATTTAGGAAACAAATGAAGCCTGTCTGTGTGTGTGATCAGCTTGATATTCTCTAAACCAATAAGCCTTCATGTGATGAATAGATGTCCTAATCACATGTAGCTACAAGTGAGTCCACCAGTTAACAGACAAATTCAGCATTACTTTCCTCAAGCTTTTCTCTTTGGGTTGCAGAGGCTGTCAGAGGAAGGCTGGAGGAGGTCTGATTATACAAACCTCAAATTTAATGTCTCTACAAGCAGCAGACTCATGGGGCTGTCTCGCATTTATGATTCTGTTTGTTATTCCTCTCTCTTTACAATCTCTCTCTCTCTCTCTCTCTCTCTCTCTCAGTAACCTTGACAGATACACAGAGTGAGAAGGAAGAAGGGGGGCAGAGAAAAATGTAAAATAGAAATAGAGAGGTGGAAAGTATGAAAAGAAACTAAAATAGAGAAAAGTATTAGTCATGGGTAAACAGAGAAAACAGGAATACAAGGTGAGTCAGAGAAAGTTATGGAGGAATTACAAGTAGGGAGGGACATAAAAGAGAGGAAACCTGAGCAGAGACAGTATCAGATGCAGAGTTCGCTGCTCTTCTCATGCAGCAATTACATACGGGGCTCAAGCAAACAAAGATTAGTAATTAGTAAAGTTAGCTGAACTGCAACCTTGGTAACAAGTGGTTTTAAATAACTTGTTCAATTAAATTTCGTCGCTGCATCTATGTCCTATACATGGTAAATCTGTTTCATCGATTACTTTTCAGAACTTTTCTAGTCCTGAAAAAAGTAATTAAGATGCCAAATGCTAATGTCAGCATGCTAACACGTTCGCAATGACAATATTAGAATGCTATATTTGCTAGTTATATTTTTCCCTATTTCTATTTTACATTATCTACCTAGCACTGGATAGAAATTAAAACTGATGGGAGTCCAATCGTTTTTCAAGTATTCTGAACATCTGTATGTCTTTACCAAATGCATTTTGTCTGCCTTTTATGGATTCCATGATTGAACTTGATTTAATTTGTTTTGTGCACCCTGTTTTTATCATTTTGTCTGTGCATTGGTTATACTGTTGTGCTACGTCAACATTTAAGGGCTGCTTCCTTCAAGGTGCACATTTTAAGGCCGATTGCTTCACAGTCGTGCGTCAAAGACTGCCAAACTAGATTTGTGGATGAATTGTTTGGCAATAATAATCAGGGCATTTTAAAGCAGCTAGTTTCCATGCAGCTGTTGAGGTTGCTAGGCGACAAGGGCCGGGCAGTGCTTTTTTTTTTGATTGAATGGTAGACTTATTCTAGCTCAGTCTGTAGGGACTTGGGTTGGGAACCGGAGGGTCACCGGCTCAAGGCTGCGTTGCCCTTGAGCAAGGCACCAAACCCCCTCCCCACCATCAGCTCAGGAGCGCCCGCTGTGGGCCGCTCCGTCACTCTGACATCTCTCCATTAGTGCATGTCCATAGGATCCTGTTTGTGCATGTGTGTGTATTTTCAGCCTGTGTGTGTTGCAGAAATTTCCCCTTGCGGGAATCAATAAAGTAAATCTTAATCTTAAAAAGACTTTGCTTACATTACTACAGATTTTTCACAACCAGACATGGAGTGGTCAGACACAAAGCATGACCAGATGTGAACAAGCCACTGATACTAAGCAGGTTTACAGATTGAAAAGGAAAATGTTTTTAAAAAAAAATTATGTTTATTAATTAAACTAAACATTACTCTAGAGCTCTATACAGAGCTGAACTAATTCATATTTATTGAAGGTTTTAAAAAACTTGGATAAAGTTTATTTTTTAAATGAAATGGCTCCTTTGGCTTTCATTGGCCTGTCATTTATAGCAGAGCCTCAGATAACTCAGATAATATTATATTATATGTGGTGATTTTGTGGGTTTGTCAGCCATGCCCATATATTTTTTCACAGTAGATTACAGTAGATCCATCAGAAGTGACAGAAAACAACCATGACGATAACCCCTCCTTTTAGCAGTTCAAACTCCAGTGTCTGAGCTCTTAATCCGGTTACTTGGTCCACCGCTGTGTTCTCTCTCTTTACCCACAGCATGAGGCTCTGAGGCCCCCCACCAATTAACTTTTAGACACCAAAAAAGCCACTGCAGTATTTGAGAGCCTAGTAAGATTCCTGTGATCAAATCTCACACAGATATCACTCAGGATGGTTGAAAGATACTGATCTCAAAGACATTTGTGGCAAAATAACAACACAATATATTTTTGGTCACTTTGCTCTCAAACAAAAAGAAGCTGCAGTATTCAGACAAACTACAAATATTTACATGAGCTGGCCCACACAGTACAAAGTTACAAAAGCAAGTAAAAGGTCAACATTTAACACTTTGTTAAAAATCTGATTATGCTTCCATTATGCAACTCATGTGGGAAGGTCTGCCTGGGAACACATCGCTGAGAAAAGACTTCTTTATAGGGAAAAGAAAGGCCGCATTCATCAAACTTCGTCTTTCTTTCCAGTGGCAACAGCATCACCTCCATAACCGCACACAACAGAGCGTCTCAACCTACACTCTGACGTTCATGGGAACACATGTAAACAAGCAAGTGTGAGCATAAACCCAGGCTGCAAAGGACAAACGCTGCCCTTGACGAGCAGCGGGTTAATGGGAGCAGAGGTCTCACCTGGCGGGGTGCATGCCTCAACAGAAGACTGAACTAACACAGATCGTCTCTTGGAGGGCATTGGCATCTTCCTCTCTTTGTACTTTGCCAGAGCTGCTTGGACGGCTTCTGTGTGCAAATCTAAAAGAACAAATCAAAACAATTAATCTACATCATAAAAGAAGAGCAGCAGATATCTAAAACTCTCCGGCAGCACGGACGCATGATTACCAGATCTGAAGCGTTCATCCCGGGTGTTGGCGGCCCGAGACTTGTTGTGTTTGGAACCTGGGAGAACTGCTTGTGAGGAGGACTGAATCCTGTTGTCAATTTGCAGAGAAGGATCTACACCTGGAAAGAGAAAAGACCAAAACAGGGAAAAAACAGTATGAAGCAGGTCCATGTATTCATCAGAATGGGCAGAGAAACGCTCCATGTCTGACTTACTGCCAGATCAAGTATCTACTAGTAATCCCTATTTAGACTGCTTTCGTTTCATACTGTAGCTTAGAGCTGAGAAAGTATTCACTTTAATTAATCCAGCCTCACTCACAGCTTTCAAGATGCCTCCCAGCTTTCCAAGGAAAGCAAATGCAAATTACACAGTCATAACAGAGAGGAGGTTATTAAGCACCATGAATGTCAAAAAGACAACATCATCTGACTAGAGTGCACTAAAATGATCAAACACTCAGACTCGTCAAACTCTCTGTGCTCAATGTGGTGAGGGCTGTGATTCACCCTTTACTTAATGCAATTCTCACTCTAGCTTCATTAAGTAACTTTTGTGAGAATCAGAGGGGAAAACCCAAGACTACCGCCTGAAGGAAGGTCATGGATTGAGCTCTACTAGAAGCCCTCTACCACTGGCTTCACTTCATCTCCCCATGGTCTCATACTTATGTATTTGAAGTTTGAAGGAAGGATTAATCTATAGGAGAATTATGTTGAGCTTTCACACGTTTTACACAAATTAACTTTTCGCCCATTAATTATTGAGGGAAAACCTACATCTTACCCTTTTTATGGTAGATAAGGTTCTGCATGTTAAATAATACATAACATGAAGAAACTTACTCATGAAATGTATATCAGGCTCAGTTTGACAGTGTTGACAATATAATATGGGGAACACAGAGAACTATGTTAATGTAAATAATTTGTCTCTATTTCTATTGATTTAAAGACACCTGCTTACTGGATGCTCATGCTATAATACAGAAATATATTTATTCCCACAAGATCTCAAAGCAAACCTCACAAATGAATTGAAATTCACAACCACACCAGTGGCAACACTATGAAAACTGAATCTCAATTCTCTATGGGCGGAGCAAAAGCTTTACCCATGCTGCACTCTCCAAGTTCCCCACCACCCAAATTTGACATTGTTTTTCTGTTGTTGGACGCCAACCACTTTTGGAGGCTTGCAATATTATATAATCGGTGGTTACAAAGATGAGTAATATCCTAAAAAAGTCAAACTTTGGTCTGTAAAGTAAATATTGCACCACATTCAATATGTGGGAATAAAAGTCAACAAAGTGTTTAGGAAATCAGAGCTTGTATAAATTGTAATATTTGCAGATACTTTTGAATATTGATGTCTTAGAATCGTGTAGGAGGGATCCTAAATTACAGCTGAATAAGTGTCATAATATCATCAGAGTAACAGTAATCGTAACTTCATTAAGTGAATATGAGGTGAAAACAGATGACATCCTTTGCAGAGATATAATGTGACAGCAACTATCATTACTGAGCATTAACAGAAGTCTGAATCCACAAGTGGGTAGCAAAGTTTACAGTGTAGCTGAGGAGCATCTATGAGCAGACTGTAGGCAGCTTTGAGGTTGCTGTGATGTTGCGACTTTTGCTGACCCCTGACCAACTGAATAACACAGAGTGGCTGCCTTTTCAAGTATATCCATTCGAGAAAAAGCCTTTCCAGGACAGACTTGTACCATTCCACATTCAACCAGCTAGATCCAGCAGCTAGCTGGCAGGCCAGTCAGACACCGGGGCCAGCAAGCCAGCCATCAGCTTTTCAGCGGCAGCTTAGCGGGGATCAGTGAGCTCCACACAGTCAGCAACTCTAAGACAGCAGCAACACACACATCGAAATGTTGAGCAACATTCTCACAGGCTTCAACTAAATCTATTCCAAACAAGAATTTCAAAACAAGATTTAATAAGGCCTGAGGACATTTAAGGACACACAATGAATGGAGCGTCACTCACACACACACAGCATCCCTTGAGCATGCATAAACACATCAATATATGCAGGTTCCCTATATTGCTCTGACATCCCAGGCACACTACATCCTTTCCCCAGCTCCCAGAGGAGACAGGTCTATAAAACAAGTCAGGACACCAGGTTGCTGGGCAGAACGCATTTCAGAGACAAGCCACACCGAACCAATCAGGGGCGTGCTCTGTCACAGCAGATGTTGTTATTGGTTCATAGTGAGCCCTGATGAATTTTAAGCACCTGTCTGATGCAGACACTTATCCCGTGTGGTGACTGATGGCACTTGCGTGATGTCTCACTTCCTGGTGAGAATTTATGCTCGATTAATGAATTACACATATAGCTCACATTTGTGTATTTGACGATGCCTGGTAAAATTGAATGGATGCCACCTGTACTCATAGTGGGGAAATATTAAAAAACTACTCAAAAAAGAGCTCCCTAACTCTCAAGTTAAGATTTGAATCCCTGAACACCCTGCTTTGCAAAAACGATGTCAAAAGACTTCTCAATCAGCTAAAAATTATGCTTATAATTTGACATGCCAAAAACTCCTAAATGTTAGACTCAGTCGGGTCACTTCCCAAATAAATATTTACTCTCTGAGTTCACACTGATGACAGAAAAGAAATAAGTCAACTCTATTATTGATTCTCTCTAACAATCGTCTGCACCCATTCTATTGGACTTGGCATATGCACAGTTCCACAGTATGTCAACTGTGAAATATAAGGCAGAAAACCAGATTATGAAATTTTGTATGGAGTGCTGAAGCTTATAGTCTATCGGTCTTTTATTTCAGCTCTGTAGCTCTGTTAAACCTTAACCCACTGATTCATCGTGTTGGATGGATGTGTCAGTAATTTCCAACACATGTATTCATCCAGCTGGAAGCGTGTGTTGTATATATAGAATCCTCCCAATTGAAAAGCTCACCCACTGCAGCTCTAAATCTATCAGTCCCCTTCTTTAGCTGTCAGAATCCAGAATGAATGGATCTAACAATAAACAACAGAAAGGACATAAATAAATAGGCACATGAATCCAGGATAACTAGGAGGCAGAGGGAAGAAAGAGAAAGGTACAGAATGGAGGAGATGATCCGCCCAAGCTCAATAACAGGCCTCCTAACTTCAGTGAAAAGCATTAAGTGAGCGTCCCACACCAGACTCTGGTTTCCACTGAAGCTTGGTGCTCGGATGACAAGCCAAACCAAAGACCGCCATGGACCGCTGATGGAGGAACATGAAGTATACAGACAATAAATTTACACTGGGATTCCCACAAACCAACCCAACCATATAGTCTGACCAAAGCGGCTGGGACTCACTGACTGCGAGGTCAGAGCTAAAAATACACATAATTTATATAGAGTATATGAGTGATGTAGCACCCATACACCTAAAAGTACAGTAACACAGAAAGTCATGCAAAGACAGAATTGCAGAAATATGCAAAAACTGCCCAACAAACAAAACAAATAAAAAGCGTTGTGTAAGAAAAGTTACCTTCATTTTAAGAGCTCGGCAATCACATTAGGAGAGCAGCACACACACTTAAAAATAATAAATCTGGACCAGTTATCATTCCAGGAGAGAGACTCTATATTTACAACTCCATTACAGTATGTTTCCCTCGCCTCGGTTGGTTAGCAACGATATTCGTTGGGCCTCTTCAAACACTTTGATATACAGCTGATGGAGAGCTACAGCATTAATAACAGACCTAAGGGTCACAGGACCGTAGTTAAAGCCCTGACCCCAAGAAACAACATCACACCAGCGGAGACAATCTTAACTAGTAAAGTCAAAACAACCATTATGTATTGAAGAAGAATCACCTTTTTCGTCCATGAATTTTCTTTTAGCTTTGCTTTTATATTGTATTTTTTCTTTTACAATTTCTATTTTCTGTTTCTTTGTAAGATACATCTCTTTGTTTTCCTTTCTTTTCTACAAGCATAAAGTTTTGTTGCCCCTATAGTCATCATTATCAACAACGTAGAGACTTCTCTTACTCTCTTTGGTGTAGTGATGAAGCCATGCTAACTGCTATGCTAACAGGCAGCCAAAGTAAATATTGTTCTGTTGGCCTGTGTGCCTTACCTTGTATCTGTGGGATGTACGGTGCCAACAGCTTGCCTCTTTTCTTCTCATAGCCCTTCTGAGTGATGTCCCCTGTTCAGACAGAGACAGAGAAAAACAGAGGAACAGACAGACAGAGAGAAAGGGAGGGGAGGGGAGGGAGGGGGGGGCAGAGAGATGAGTCATTAGCTCTGCTGATCCGTGGTGTGTGTGTGTGTGTGTGTGTGTGTGTGTGTGCGTGTCTCAGGATCACACTCTCAGGATGGTAACACTGGCACCACAGGGCACCAGAGGAGGCTTGTGGTAGCAGATGACCAGCTCTCCCTCTCTGAATGTTTCTCTCACCTTTACAAAGGAGATGACAATGCAATTGCTACATATGTTTGACGTGGTAGTGTGGTGAATTTCCTACTGAATACTTGAATGATAACATCGGCAAAGCAAGAGGCATTTAAAAGATCATTTGTCTGGTGCGTCTGGAACATTTCCCCTGCAGTCATTTAACCAGAAATAAAAACTCTGCTGATGTCAGCATGAACTGAATCTGTCTCAGTCGTCTCCTGACACATAATTAGAAGGCGGCTTTTTAATTAAGATCTAGCTGCATGTTATTGTAATTGCCCCATTTGAGAGTATTATCAAGGTAAAAGTGTTCAAACCAGAATTCAACTCTAATAAACTTGGAGAAAATAAGGACCTAGAGAGATGGAGGGAAAGGATGACAGAAAGAAGAATAAGTAATTCTACCACTATGTAAGATACAGCAAGATTTGTCGCTTGACTCTTTTGGCTGTCACTTGACAAGGGTAAGTCAAACATTTATCTGTTGTAATAAAGATTATGAACAAATAAAATGATGTATTGAGGGGCGCTGGTGGCGCAGTGGTTACACACCCCATGCATGGAGGCTGTAGTCTTCCAAGCGGGCGGCCCAGGTTCGAGTCGAGCCTGTGGTTCCTTCCCCGCATGTCACTCTCTCTCTCTCCCCAATTTCTGACTCTATCCACTGTCCTATCTCTCAATTAAAGGCACACAATTTTTTTTTTTAAATGATGCATTGATTGCTTGTATTTTCTGAGGATAAAGTTTCAATAGCAGGTCCAACAGCTGTATATAATCAAAAATTGGTTTATTTGCCTAGTTGGCAAATTCCATTTGGGATGAAATAACAGAGAACTTATTTATCATCATCATAATGTGCCATTTAGATTTAAATGTTCATCTCATTTTGGCAGCGTGTTATTGAGTAAGCATTCCCCTTAGTATATTTATTTTAGTTACACAACTGAGTTATTGAGTCAAATGAATCAGTCAGATCTGATCAAAGTTTAGTGCCACAGCCTTAAGACAAAGAATAGAAAAATGATGCTTATAAGCTTCACATGAGGTAAACAGATTTTAAGAGAGAGAATTGGTGAATATAGTGAGATGATCTGTATATGGAAAGATGGATTGCATCTCAAACTGACCTTTTATTGCCTTTTTCAATAGAAAGAAACAACTTAATTTAATGACACAGTCACCAAAATGCTAAAAAAAAAAAGGTTAAACACATCAAAGTCCATGGGACTTGTTAAAAAGACACTGACTTGAGTCTTTTGACCATGTTTCAAGGCGGAAAGATGTCACTGAGTTTCTGCAGATCAGACACACTTGAGGGCTGAGGCCCGTGGGCTGGGTGGGCTCGCTCTTTTGCAAACAAAAGACATATTGATGTCTTGAGAGAGGACTGACTGACAGCACCTCAAAGACACAAACCATGAGTATCTACGTAACTGTGCTCCCTCATTTGACCTCAAAACAAGCTCCAACACCCCTTAAGATGGATTACGGGGAAAAAAGGGTCCAACAACAAAGCTAAAGAAGAAGAAGAAGAAGGGGCCTCATGGAAAATATGCCAGTCAAATAGTCAGCCTGTGATGAGTGTCAAAGTCAAACATCCGCTTGACATGACATATTGTTATGGCAGGAAGCTAGAATTGCTCACAAAAGTGGACAGCTCTGAGGTAAGATTGTTACCACAACAGTCCAATGAATAGGAATCCCACTGTGTCCCTCATATGAATCTGTCAAGGCTCTCAAGTGGGGTCGTTCAGGTGGAGGTCAAGTGAAAAAGCAAAAAGTATCTGAATCCATTGATTGCAATCCTCACCATGTCATCAAATATATTTTGGAAAATATTAGTTTTGCTTAAACTTAAATATGTGTTTCACATAAAAAAGGCATAATTAAGGTTGCCCCTGTATTACAGTACCGTATCTTGATGCCCTTTGTATAGATATATTTTATTGACATGTGTTACTAAGCGGTTATAGATTTTGTTTTTTTACAAAAGTTTCTTAAACAAAACATTTAGCATTTTTTTTTTCTTTGCCAGTCCAATCCTCTTGACCACAACAGTGTGTTAGTGTACAGGCAGGTGTTGCTGGTTACACTGGTCTCCATGCTGCCTACTGGTCCTGAGTCACCAGTGACATCTGAATGCCTTCACTGTATGTCCAGGAGAGCTGCAGGCTTGCAACAATACAGCGCTGTCCACAGGCAGGGTCGGCTGACCTGACACTGACTCTTTCTGGTGATAAGTGGCTCTGTTTGTTATGCGTGTACATCAGTGTATGTCTGTGTGTGTGTGTGCCAGTGTGCCTGAGTCTGTGCACCACAGCAGCCAGCCAGCCTGACAACCAAACAATAGAGGCCTTTTCTCTTCGATGGATCCAAATTCTGGCTAGAGGCCTCGGTGGCAAAGCGGCCCCTAGCACACACTGATCCATCAAGTTATGTCTCAGTGAAGCTTATCTTTTGATCTGAGAACAAATAGCTTCGTCATTAAATATGGAGGAATGGCATTCAATGGTAAACAATGTAGCCAAATGTTTCCTTTGGGAGTGTGCATTAAAAAGTATTGTGTGCATGTGCTCACACACCTATTTGTGTGTTCATTTTACGTATTCAGAGAGAGACACTCTATTCCCCCTCTCTGTTAGAGCTTTGAGTGCCTCCATAAGGAGAAAAAACATGACGATTCAAAGGTCAATATGTGGTCTGCTGCCTGGGGAATAGCAGAAGATAGAAAAGATAGTGGGAAGCAGGGAAGAGAGAAAAAAAATAGATGGATGAACAGAAGCTTAGCACCTCTTTCAAAAAAAAAAGGGACAAGCTGCATTTACAGCACCTACAGTACAGCATGATGGGAAACAACTTGTTTGACCCCTGTCCCCCTTTTGTGCTGACTACAGGCTTTGCAATGTTATAGAGCTGTAACATAAAGGGGATAGGTATATCGAGAGTGGAGAGGTGAGACAGAGGGAGCTCAGGTGAAAGACTAGGTTCTCTTATTTATTACAGGCTGCAATCCACCTTTAACTTAAACCTCCTATTTTAATGCCTTCATCCCTCCACTGTAACCTCTTCACCTCCCTTTAAACCCTTAAGGGCTCACTGTCCCTGCATACTAAGCAATCCAGTCATCTTTTGACTTTTCTCTTTAATTACCTGCAGCAGCTCTTGCTGAGGACAGATAAAAAGAACAGAAGGATGTCATGCGGCTTATGTCAAGTTTTTAAGGGTATTAATGCGTGTCTTGTGCAGTAACTGCCATCTATCTGAAAAGACAAGATTCTATTTCCCAAAGACCAGAGGCATTTTCATCTGGCACAATGTTGATGCAGTAAACATTCCTCTCACTGGATCCAATTTGGAAAGAGAGACAGTCAATCTTGTGACACTCTGAACAGTGACAGTAAAGAGAGCCCGCTGTCCTCTGCTTTGTCTTATTGACTACGACTGACTGATGGCTATTGAGTTTAATTGACCGATGGCTTTTGAGTAGAGCTGTTGCTCCACTGAGGCCCATTAGAGAATTACCCTACAACTGCCCAGACGGAGCTCTTCAATAAGAAGGGAAATACTGAAGCAGCACATTCCTCTACAAGTAAGCACAAACACATAAGGGACAGATATTGAAGCTCTGGATGGGGATAGGGAGGTCTATCTTATTTACTGTGAGGTGTGAGACTTAATGCACCAACTTTAAATATATATGAAAATAATATGTCCACACAGTAACACAAACACATTTTGTCTCTCCTTTTTAGAGCCAGAGAGCCAGGGAATGTCAACTCTAACTCAACTATTTCTATGGGCATCATGCACAGTGCACACACACACACACACTTTGGCAGTGGGCCCATTTAAATAGGAAGCCAGCAGGAGAGGACAACACACACTGATGCAGGGTTTGTTAACTATAGCTGTTTGATTGTGGAGTGTGTTTAGAGGTACAGGCACAGTCTGCCTTTTTGACTCATCTGTCATCAACACTAGTCAGTTATTTATTAATAAATATGGGATACATATAATTGTTGTTGGAGAAGTGAAAAAAGGCCCTCAGTAATATCTGAAGCCCAAAGCAAAGCATTCAAACTCCTTTGTTGAACCAATGGTCCGAAACAAAAGTTACACTGTCTAGAGGACAAAGAAAATATAGAAACCTTCATATTTAAAAAATATGGAATTAGAGATGGTGGCTTTTTTGTTCTAAACATTTATTTCAATTGATTGTTAATATGTCATGTTTTATACATTTAGCCTTCAAGTGAATGATGACAAGTTCAAGGCCACCAAAGTATTTTACAGGAACTTAGATTTGGACTCTGGCTTTATATTTCAAATGTTTGGATTCAAATGACTCTGAATGTACATTTTAATGTTTGGATTACACATCAATTAACATTTTCGATAATTATGTATTGTATTCAGATTATCAGTTCTGATAAATAATTGTCCAAAATGTGTTTTTCCCTGAAATAAAATCAAGTCATTGCCACACTGCCAATCCTCTCTTTCTAAATGACAGACAGCCGGAGAGCCTGCCCCACCTACTCTCTATGTCAGTTCCTGTGCCAGGCTGACCCACAATGTGCCAACACTTTTGCCAAGCCAGCAACCAAGCTGTCTGCCCTTCAGCCAGAGCAACACCACAGCTAAATATTTAGGGCACGTTTTCTCTCTAGGCTTGTGTGTCGGGTCCAACAAAAGCAGATGTAGCAAGCTGTCATTTAGCATTAGGTCCCTGGAAGAAAAACACTAGTCAG